GGTTTAGCTAACTAGAGTGGGAACGAAAATGACGCGTCCTGCAGCACCTGAACCGCGGCCGAAGAGGAAAAAAAAATCTGTGGGTAACCATGGACCATGATTAATGGATCAATCCTTTTCAGGTATGCACGGGTAAAAGAATACTTCTCTCACAATAATTATGAAGTCGTTCTCAATAGGACGAAACCGAAAGTATGCTTCTCTGTCATTAAAGGTTGGAAGTGCCCATCACATGCTGTGAAAGGAAAAACGTGAGAATATTTTTCCTTTTGAATAGAATTATAGCGCCGTCTTTCTAGATCAGGCCTGATCTAGATAGACGGTGCTATAGAAATGCCTATTATTATTATCATTATTATTATTTGTGTGAATTTCTTTGCATTTTTGTCCAAAAAAAGAACTGTTTCCAAACCGAGGCTACCACAATGAACCTAATAGGTTCATGCTACCACAAAGACTTTTAAAGCAGGAATGCTTCATGACTTCATGATGATTTCAAAAGAATATAAATGGGTGTAATTTGTAAATTTTTAGAGTATGTTCATGTACATTAAACCCATCAATGAAAAGCGATAGCCTAATGTGTAAACAATGTTTATTTAGTATTTCTCTGTATTTCTCTGTTCATATATATTCTTCGGATGATATTCAAATGTTAAGTTTGGTATGGTGGTGTGTTTGAGGTTAATTAAGATTTCGGTTTACCGTGTGAGTATATAGTCCTGAAAAAGGACCGTTCGGGCGTTATCTCCGCCATGGCTCTTTGAACTAAAATCATCCGTATGTTTTCCCCTAGCATACCTTCATTTTAGCCAAGATCCATGATTTTGTCAGTATTGGTCAGAGGCGGCGCTTCCGGGGCAAGGGGCCCCAGTGCCCCCACAGTGTGTAAGTACCCCAAAGTAGCAATGATACGTGTCCCTTTTTAATAATGACAAGTGCCCATTTAAATTTGGATAGGTACCCATTTTCAGGTCTAATAAGTGTCCCTTTTCCTTTCTGACAGGTGCCCCTTTCCCCTTCAAATAAGTGCCCATGTTTCATTCGTAAAGTGCCCCTTTTTCCTTAGGCTAATAAAGTGTCTCTATTCAAATCTGAAAAGTATCCATTTAAAAACTGCTATGTTATGAGTACTAATTTTTCTCCTAATAATTGCCCTTCTTAACCTATACTTTCTCGCTTGAAGAATCAAAGCAGTATCATGTTGTAACGGGTTATTAGTAGTATCACAATATGAGGCAGTGGGGCACAATTTTTTTTCCCAATTCAATTTCGGTTTTATTACAAGTATACCAAATAAAAAGTCCAAAGACTAACAATAATTGGCTTACAATGTATCATATAAAAATGCATTAAAAACAGTAGATCTATTAATTCAGTAATAAGTTAAAGTACATTGCTCACGTTGTATCATATAAAAATGCATTAAAAACAGTTGATTTACAAATTCAGTAATAACTTAAAATATGAAGAGAAAAAAAAATGTAAGTTATAAAATGGTATAACATAACATGAAGGGTTCTTCGGTCGATCACTACCTTGTTGGAATGCTTGACCATATTCACAAAGGCCTTGACCGGCCAGGCTATGTCGCCAATGTCAGTGCCATCGACTTTTGTAAAGCTTTCGACAAGATCAATCACACTATTGCCATCAAGAAAATGATCAATCTCGGTGTTGATAGGTCCATTCTGCCAACAATGTCCTAAATATTACAAAAAAACGATGAGTGCCGCTTGTCAATGCAAAATTGTGCTCATTTTCACGCTATCAATTCGCTCTTCCTTGACAAATCAATTTTAATCTACCGCTTTAATCTACCGTAAGATTGGCTCTATACTCAATCAATGAAAGGGTCGTGCATGGCGCTGGGGTGGGGGTTATAGAGGATTACTCGATTGTCAGCAAGGTGCCCCGTCACTACTTACCGCTGTCATAATCCTTCTAATATCAGTGGGAGGAAGCTCCAGCTATAAAGTGCCCATTTGACCCGAGAAAGTTTGCACTACTACAGTAAATAAAATTGAATACAAATATTTTTACAAATGCTCTTTTTAGCTGCTCTTTTGAACTGTAACGAAATTTTGTTTTCACACCTGTCGTGACCTGTCGCTTATACCTTTATTGCGAAAATGCAAGTGTTAACTGAAGCAGAAAATAGTTCCGATATATAGTAGGGGCAAATGTCTATCTTTCCGAAGACGAAGCATGCCGTTATCAAAGCGACAAATCTTATTACAGTTCTCTGATATATCATAACATTTTATAAAAGATTGAAATCTGCAAATGCAATAGTAGTATGCACATTCTGTATGAGTATTCCAGGAGATATACACTGGCTGGATCATCAGACTTTAACATTATTTAGATTAGACTACTTTTCCTGAAAATGCGTGCAAATTTATTCGTTAAACGATATACTATTTACAATTGCATGCATTTAAAAAAAAGTGTAAAATGTCCATTTATCCATAACTTAGGTATGAAGAATTCTGTGATTCCTGATTTTCTATCTATTGAGCAGTAGTCAACTTTATATCATTTTTACAATTAATAAGTTATCATTGACTATATTGAAGAAAACAAATTTAACTTTTCCATAATTACGTTTAAATATGTTGAGGAGAGGTTCTTTATTAATTGTGCTGGGCGATCCACAAACATAGACATTTTCATTTCAGTCGTGTAAATTCAGTGGGACAATCTCAGGTAGGCGGAACATTTTCCAAAGTAGAGGGCATTTCAATACCTTCGGTTGTTTTCAATCACACTTTGTAGAACATAATAAATATCAGAGAGGGAGAATTTTCAATATTTCTTTGTCCAATGTTGTACTTTGGGCTGTAGCGGTGTTAGTATACTATTGTGTATTGTATAGACACAATATATAACACTGCCCCGAGGCCCCTGTCAGAAGTTATGTGCCCCTGGCAAATGTGCACATTTGTAAATGCTCTGTGCAAAAACTTGTCTGATAATGATAATAATAATGACTATTTGTAAAGCGCCAGTTCCACGTCGATCAAGGCGCTGAGAATCATTACGAGAAAAAAATGTAATTGCTATACAGAGCACATAAACCATACATTAAAGAGTACATCGAAGAAATAAGTTGACACAAATATACACTAAGAAAATATAAGCTAAGCTAAGCTGTCACCGTGTCCCTGTAAGGACGATGGCTCCACAAACATATTCAAACCATTTTTCCTATCTTGAGCAATTCTATATTCCTTTTGGAAGGTGCTGCCTACTTGCCTGGAAAATAGACATGATTCGGAGGTATAATCGTATCTATTACTTGCAGAAATTGAAAGTTGGAAATTATTGTACACAGAAACTACTATATAATTGTTATATTAATTATTTACATAAGTATTATTTTTTTCACACAAAAATCAATTTCTCAATAAATTGTATCGTTTCCACACTAACAATATTCTCCCCTTATACCTTATCGTGACCTCAAATGGCTCAGATTAGATTCCAATCAAATTAAAGGCTCAAATAACATATGCTTAAAATTGTATAAATGTATATGTTGTCCAATCACAAATATGTTCTGCTTGTATTAAATTCCAATTGGTCTCATCCAAACCCAACTTTATGGCAACACGAGCAAATTCTGATAGCTGAGGGTATATAACAGATAATCATTTGACATTGTTTCAGTGTTATTCTGCTTGTTTTATATTTTGTATTGATTAGTTAAATTTGTCTTTTTGTTGACAGATATTCAATTCTTTAACATTATGTTTCCATGAAAACGGTCATTTTAAAACTTCTTTTACAATTTGTTTCCATGGCAACGACAATTTTCATTGCACCACACATAATGGGTGTAATATCCAACATTCAAATGTATTTTACAGGTTTATTACTTCAAACTCGTAATAACAATTAAACTAGTTGAGAGGTCTTTACCAGATAATACATAGGCCTATTTGATTTTTTTAAAATATTAAAAATCATGATTTTTGATACTTTTTCCATTTTTCTGCAAAAAATGAAATTTTCAGTGGCATCCTTATGGAGCTCTTTTTTAAAAATCATGTACTCAACACCCCCCCCCCCCCCCTCTGATTAACAAAAAAAAACTTGTTAAAGGGAGGTCATAACTATAACTTCGATCCTCATTAATTGTCGATGGATGATCGATTGTTTGTATCTCGGATCATCTCTACAGTATCAGCTTGCTTCATATCAATCATTTTGTCAATATGAGGGATGGGGGGGGGGTGGGTTGCAACCAACCAAATCTTATCAACAACAATCAACGTGATCAGTTTTATGTAACGCAACGCAACCGCCATCTTATCGTCTATATCATGAGGAATTACAATGATAATAATAGTGATGGTGATATTAATCAATAACAAGTATTTCGTTTCAGCAAGCGAAGCGAGCAAACTTTCAAAGTTTCAATACTGACACAACTTCCTAAATTTAGTTTATCTTCGTTTTTTTTTCCACGCTTGAAGAGCTAATGATGGGAACAATGCGAAGAATTGCAGAGAGAGAGAAAGAGAGAGAGAGAGAGTGTGTGTGTGCGTGTGTGTGTGTGAGAGAGAGAGAGAGAGAGAGAGAGAGAGAGAGAGAGAGGGGGGGGGGATAGGGAGACATGGTGAAGGAGAGGAAGACGGAGGGAAAGAACAAGAGAAAGGCAGATATACAACGTAGATAGATTGAACGACTCCTCGAACTATATTTTTCATATTCCATTACGTTATACTTGACACTTCAAAAAACAACAAAATCAGTGATTCCAAAGTTCAGACGCAGAATTCGCTAAAATAAATCATCCATACAGTCTAACACATTGAAATTTTTGGAATGATCTATGCACCTCCATGCCCAAGTGAAGAAGGTGCACATATTGTTGGATGAGGTAATACTAATACATGTGTAAAGTGCTGATTAAATCATGATCAACGAGAAAAATTAATCCAGACGAAGTTAGATCGGCAAAAATACAGACACAAGAAAGAAAAAAACATGCATTTTCTAAGATTGTCATGTATTTATTAATGAATTCGTTCATGTTTCACAGTGCTTTAATATACATTCAGCATACATTTTGAAAGGATAGATATTGCATTATTTTTCAAAAAGGTAATAAGATTAAACTCTGTCTTTATTTTGTAAGTTTTCTTTTGTTTTGCATTATAGTATTTACAAATTACTTACACACGTATGTATAGTCAGCCAAAATGTTGTTTTGTGGCAATTGACTTACACTAATACATGTACCCTTATAACATATCACTTACCCGACAACAAATGTTCTAACATGCAACATTTATTCAGTGATATAAATTATATATTTGGCGTTTCAGTAATATAATATTAGTAGACTCATACCAGAAAAAAATATTTCCATAGAGTAATATAATGATGATGAAGTAGAAACATAAAAAACAGTAAATTATGCTATTTCATTTTTCTAAAAACTAACAACACATTGTAAAAAGAAGACATTGATCAACTTGAATTTGTTCTTCTTCAAGTTAACATCAAATAAAGGAAATAGTAGATAAGAACCAGATTAATGAATTCTTAATAAACTAAACACATTGTTGGTACTAAACTTACTAAATCAATATTACATAAACTAAATAAGTACAGTGTATACTAAGTTTGTATTCTACTAATTAGTTTTTTAACCGCAGCTAATGATGAAAAATATATTGGAAAAAAACTACTATAAATACACAATAAAAACCATATTACGCACTACATAAAAGAAAACAAACACAGTGCACATTAATACTTGATTCACTATAATATTTAATCGGTCCTTTCTCCAAATCACTCTTTCTCGAAACAATGTCATTTACTTATGACATACATGAGTTAGGCATACAATATTCTTAATTTTCATCAAATAAAAATGTTTTTTAGCAGTATGTAATACACTATGATGATACAACAATATCTATTACAATGTGTTGATGAAACAAATATATAAAAAGGAATCATAATTAATGTTGACATGTTTTTCAAATTATAAAAATTAATGTTTTCAAATTATACAAATTAATGTTTTCAATGAAATATGTACTGATTATAGTACTTTTAATTTGTCTTAGTTATTTTGTTATATGCAAAGCTCAAATTCATTACTTTAAAAGATTTTTAACAATTTTATTTTACATGAACAACATAGGATACAAGCCATGTACTTCATCGATTGTTTGAGGCTTCACTTCCATACCAAAACATGCTAACCTATCCACGTTGTTATTGATTTTTAACTCTAAGAACACAATATGAAATTAGTGACTGAGAATAACTGCAAAACAAAAATGATTGCCTTTACAATATGCTTCTCATTATAATGAAAATATATCATAAACAACAACAAATGTTACTGGTATTTCAGTTTCAATCATAGAAGTTGAGGAATATTCTAGAAATCATATACATTGATTCCTTTATAATCTAGTCATTCAATGATTTCAAATTCATAAAATATAAAAGATAACAGAAACCTGAAATGAAGAAACTTGGTCCAATGAGTTATGGGCGTCACAATAATCAATGAAGAGTATATTAACCTGATCAATAATTTTCTCCCCCATACGATAATTAATACATACTGGCAAAATTAGATATTCAATCTTAAACTGGTATTGTTTAATTATGAAAAATGAGGCATATATAGTCATAAATATATAGTTTTGCAAATAATCAAAGAATAACATATTCTACACTATAGCTTTTGTGCAAAATGTTTGAAAATAAACTTACATTTTATTTGTACAGAGGCTTTAAAGCAGGCAGTGTGAAGTAGAGGTGCACATTATCTTGCCAGCCTATACAACCTTTCAAGGTAACAAGACGGTTACATGGGCAACATTTCAAATTGTGAGTAAATATTGCGAGTAACTTTTATTTTATGCAGCATGCAGAGCGCATGTGTCGATACAATGGTGCGCAGCCCAGCGCAGGCAGTGACGCAACAATACATGCACGTCTGTAAACATTGATGACGCAATGTTTACTCGCAAATTAAAATGACGGCCTTAACTGCGAAGGGGTGTATAGAAGGCAAGTGGATACTGAGAAATTCTACACTGATTGTTACATACCAATGTCACTTCCTTGCATCATTATTCAAGGGTTAATATACATGATCCCTAGCCAGAAAGCACTGATAATAACTATCTACAATATGCATAATGACAATTATTGACCACATATCCAATTAAACAAATTTACAATCATTCTGTCATAGAAAAGAAAATTCAACTCCTTAGCTACATTATGGAAAATATATATATATATATATATTTATCATGAACTAGCTCATCAATCACACAAGTAAGTTAAGTGATCTGGCATGATGCAATACTGAGCTTTATATAAGTACTACAACAACCGGACAAAAGCAACAACAAAATGACACATGTACTGATTTTTATTTTATTTTTAATACTCGTAATTCACAATCATATTGCTGTTGCTTGAAAGAGAGTTGCTGGTCTTTTTAATTTTACCCAATTTGCATTTCTTTGCAGCTGAACGAAGCTCTGTTTGGTCAAATATTTATGATAATCCTTACTTATGACCTTTGACCCAAGCAGTAGAGTCTAGTACAGTTCACCGATGGGGGCATTGGCTAGCCAAAGGTCATGTAAGAAGTGATACAAGCGGTCACTCACAGATACCTGTACAAAACCAAAGGGAAAGAAAAAAAGAGAGAGATGGTAATTCTCTGAATTTGATGATGATCTATGATGAATAAGGTGGCATTTTGGAAAGGGAGGGAGGGATGGAGGGAGGGGGGGGGGGGGTCTGAAGGATGATTATTTTAATAAGCATCCTATAGCAAGCAAATGAACTTTCTATGTCATATTTAAAGTGTAGCAGAAGTCAAGATCCTCACAATTCATATACATCTAATGTATGTTAAAGCCCATCTGCACTAGTGTGGCCAGGGGGGATTAGACCTCCCTGCAAGATCACTGACAGGTGGTTATCTCATCAAATCAGCTCTCAAATAACATAAGAAAAAGGGGATCATGGGGGACCAACAGGCACCGATTAGGCATTGTTTGCTATATAGAGGGAGCAAGTAGCTATAAGTAGTGCAATGGGGATTTAAAACTTAAACATGATATAAGCACTTATTGAACAATGCAAATCCTGAGTAAATAGTGTAGAACAGAGATATTGATTATTACACGTAATTCAGTAGGGGTTGCATTGGTGCAATGCCTAAACTGTTTCATTATTTAAATAAATGCATTAAATTCACAAGATCAATGGTGAAACCAATTTCCTCTCATACACTCATAAGGATAACTATTCAATTGTCCACTTGTGTGCTTTACCTTATATGGAGTTGGGTTGAGCGCCCTCTTGTGGTCATGCCGTAGAGAGTCTAGAGAATCTTGGACCAGCTGCTTTTTCTCCTCAAGAGAGGGCAGTGTTTGGCATAGCTGTTGGGGGATATACCATCACAACAACAGTTATAATTATACAAGCAAAGCAAGGTTTCAAATAAATTTCAGACAGAGGTATTGCAGACTGTACAACATTGCAACTATCTTGAAGTTTTGGGTGGAGAGGTGTCTACTGTTAGCCTTTTCAGAAAAATTGAAACTTTGAATGTATGGATGCATTTACAGACTGATAGGAAGAGACAAAATTTTAATTTCCTTTAGATTTACAATAGAATATTCCCCCAATGGATAGCAGGTGGAAACTTAATAATTTATTATTACCTATGAAAAACACATTAATTCAATAGTATTTCCTCCACATATGCCTATCCCATTTCATCAATTTAAGTAACTTGAAAGTCATCTGTGAACAGGGATTATTTACAAGGCGATTGCTCAGAGAACCTCAAACTCAGCACTGGGCAACCAGTCATCTGAATGTGTATTTGTTTACTATAAAAAAAAATTGTTTCTAATTTGGTTGCTGCAAATGAATAACTTTTTCTAAAATATAAACATTTGAGGAATATTTTCAATGACTCACTTTTCCATTCTTGAGATAAAGCTTGTGTAGGACTTCAACTCGCCTAGGCTTTACATAGGCTCTCTTAGATTCCTGGAAAAAACAAGATAACAGGTATACGTAGGATTTCTTGATTAGCAAGAAACTTGTTCAAAACTTGCATTATATATAATTGACTGATGTATTACCTGGGTGCCCCTTGACACAAGATGAACATTCCTATTTTCATAAACAAATTTCCGCTAAGAAATCTGACAATTTGTTGTTTGGTATTCTCTTCATAACATAATCGCAAAGAGTTGACGCTTCTCCCAGGAAGCCTCACATTCAAAGCTTGTCATAATGGCAGACTGAAAAAGGATACAGAAGTCACCCTTATTTGATATGATCGCCATGTGTGTTACACAACCTGGAAAGATGATTGCAGAAATTATCAATTGATGAACAAATTTGCTTGTGTCCAAATGTGAAGGAAATACATTGTAAATGGCTTACCTCGAATGGATGCCTACAAAGAACTCTTTCCATTGGTTTAGGGGGCTCCTCGTCCACCTGCTGCATCAGATCAATCAATGCATGACCTGGAATGTATACAATCGAATGATACATTACAAAAATAGTTAAAGAGAAGGTTGAGTTCTGGGATGAGGTAAAAAATAATTTGTGAGTGTTATCATTGTTATTATGCAAGAGTGGAAGAACATCAGAGAAAAAATGTTCCCTGAAAAGCATGGCTCTTCAAATGCCTTAATATTCTAAATATATGGCATGTAACATCATAAAAATCGGGACGGATTTTTACACCACATGTTCATGTAGTCCCAAAGCGCTTTAAAAGTAACAATTTTTATTATTATTATTATTATTATTATTATACATCTTTCTGTGTACAAAGCTTGTAATTTTACCAAGACTTGGCCAAATTTCTTATCATTTTGATGGTTCCAGAACCTTGGAGTACACACACCAATACTTGTATGCTAGATGATTAACCTTTTCTGATCGATTCCACGTTTCTTTCACAATGAAATCGCAAGACCAGAACTCAACTTTATCTTTAAATAATTAATGATATATCACATGCAGCATGCTTTGCAGCAATTGTCGATATGGCAATAGGGTGGACAGCAGTTGTTACCTATAGTCATGCATCAAGCCTCTCCTTACCTTAATCTTTGATATGCTAGTGGTCTTGGACTTGGTCAATGTATTTTCATCTCATTAAAATGACAGGATTTATACAATCATTCACAAATAAGCAACTGCTCACCTTCACTGCTGAACAGCCTGTAGACGACCTTGCGACCAGGGATGGTGACCTTTGACACGTCTTGGCTCAGCTTGATCCTAGGAACTCCATTGATCTGCACCAGCTACAGGTCAGAGAGGTTAAAGTTCAAGGGACATATTCAATTCCTTTCATTTGGCACTTATTTGATTTGATATTTTATTTCTTTCATACTCATATATTTTGAAACTCACTTCACACTATGAACATGACGGACAAAGAAAGAGGACAAAATATACAGTTCCTCATTCTGCCCTCAACAATTGCTGTGGTAGACAAAGGAACATCCCTTCACCGCTATAATGTAAAAATGTGTAGAACAGGTGAATATGAATGTGACACCTGGGCCCTGAATTACAAAGAGTTGATATCAATCGCAACTATGTACATAAGAGATAGGAGATTGCAAACTTGAGATTAATTGGAGGACTTGCGATTGATTTGGATCAATCGTAACTCTTTGTAAGACGGGGCCCTGTTCTGCACATTTTTACATAATAGCAGTGAAGGGATGTTCCTTTGTTTACCACAGCAGTTGTTGAGGGTAGGATGTATGACATATTAAAGCTTACATCTAAAAGTATTCAACAAAGGCCATGATTTAACCAGTTCACCTTTCATTCTTGAATTACAAAAAACACACCAATATCAAATTTACAAGAGGTGTGAATGATTTAGTTGTTAACTGTATGTAAGATTTAAAGCCTATCTGCACTAGTTTGGCCAGGAGGGAATAGACCTCCCTGCATGGTCACTGACAGATGGTTATCCCATCAAATAAGCTCTCAATTAACATAAGAAAAAGGGGACCATGAGGAACCAATGGTCACCAATTAGCCATTGTTTGCCATATAGAGGGCGCAAGTAGCTTTAGTGGGGTAGTGGAGCTTTAAAGCTTACCTTACACACACCACCAAGGTTGGGTTGCTTCTGGCAGGTGACTAGATGGGTCCCGATACCGTATGCATCGATACCATGGCCCTGAAAGGGGGGTAAAACATGTCAGGTGCACAAAGAGGGGATGGTAATCAAAAGGGTAGGATAGAGATGGAAGAACAGAGCAGGAGAAAGGGAAGAACCAGAAGGAAACAAAAAACAAATGAGAAAGAAATAAGAGAGAAAGGCAGGATGATGAAAGAAAGGATGGAGAGAAGAAAAAAGGGAGAGAAAGAGAGAGAGAGAGAGAGAGGGGGAGAGGAGAGAGGGTGAGAGAGAGAGAGGGAGAGAGAGAGAGAGGTGGGTGGTGGTATGGAAAGAGATAAATAATGTGTTGTTTACATGTGAGAAGGAAAGAAAAAATGAATAAAAAATACAAATATTATTTTTAAAATATTATCTAAAATATGATTTGGCAGTATGGACCTGATTCGACATGATGGCCACATTGGCACATCAAAAATAAATTATATATTGTACTAATCAAAATATCTATGTACCCTCCATCTATACAGTTAACACTTGTGTCTTTGCAAGTGAACTAATCAAAAATTTCAGAGGTGAGATTATGAAATTTCAGCATTTTGAAACTAGTTTTTGCCAATTAAATATCAACATCCACTTTACATCTCCAAAAGACAACAGAGCTTGACCAACCACTGATTGTTAAAACCATGTTTCACATCCTCACAGAATACACTGACTTTGGAAAAAAGAGAAATTGAGGGCGCTATTCTATTCAATGAAAAAAGTACAGGTATATCGAGTATGATGCAGATAAACATAACAGAGGTGACAGAAAATTACCAATCAAATACAGTAGCATGAATAAAAGCTTTATACTTTCACAGAAAATGGCATGGGTACCTTCACATACATGTAGGTGGCAGGAGTAACATTTAATTTCTTTAAATAGAAAACTGCCACAAGAAAACTGTTAAGATATCACCGGTATTAAAATCTGCAATAACTGTGAGTATAAATTATAACAACCTGTATCTCCGTCATGATTTTATAATTAGTAATGTATGTTTGTGCTACTCTACAGAGATATATATACGTGATCATGTAGTGTACTACGACCCAGTAGCGTGCATGTGTAATGTGGATAGGAAAATATTATCTAACTAAATTAACTGATTCTATCAATTAGTTTGACTTCAGCTTAATTATTACAACACTAAAACCAAAAACTGTCGTGACAGGAAACATTTGCAAATTGAGAAAGTTTATTGTTGTGTCAATTGTGATTTAATTATTTCACAGCATTAAACTTAAATGAATTTGAACCACTCAATAGATTCACATATATATATTTCATGCATGCTCGAGTTTCTGGTTTTAAAGTAGTGAAGTGTTAAACTATTTAGGAAGTCCCTTTACGTTTTGGATACATAACATAGCAAAATGGTTACAAAGTGAATAAAAGCATTATGTGGAACCAAAAGAAATATTAGGGCACTATATATATTAATGCAGGGTGAATAGAAACTTGAATTTAGAATTTTTAAAAAAGCATACATGTCATCATGTACACTAGTGAAATTGTTTAATAGAATAGCACAGCAGGTGAAGTTTATCCTTATCTACAACTTCCCAAGTCTTTAGTAAAGATTAATTAAATAAGCATGTATGTATTTGAAAGATGTATATTAACAAATTTTAAAATGTAATTAAAGATCAGTTTGATATCTAACGCACACAAATGAGTGCATTTCTATACAAACAAAAAAATGATACCCATGCAAAAGCATACTGCCATGTTACCTAATAATATACACTTCACAAAAGTATATATCAACAAAGTTCTAGAGGCTTTGCTTTAACAAAATGTCATTGTTTTTATCTATATTTGATTGGCAACTCATCAAAATTTTGTAATTTGTGTCCTATAATAACACAAGTGTCAATGAAATAAAAATGAAATTATTTGGTCTGTTCTAAGCTACAGGTATTTACTGTAGACAATTGTATGATATACCAAATAGTCTGGCATAATTGGTATAGATAAGTATAGGTCAAATAAGTTTGATCTGTCCTTACATATACATGTACACACTACCTAACAATCACATATCCTTTTTATATGTATAAGATTAAGATGTACAGGTATATTATATCTTGTCTAAAATGAAATGTAGTGCCTGATTAAATATATGAATCAATCTTAAATGAAAAACCCCCTTTTTTATCAAAAAATGTATTCATTGTCATTTACACACTGTGTTCTAGATATATACAATGTATTTGTCAAGAAAAGTAACAAGGAAGTCAATGACTTGTGGAAATATACAATATGTGCGAGCTTTGTTGCATTGATAAGAAAACATCACGTTTCAAAAAACATTGTTGCCAAACCCCATCAGTGTGGCCAAATCCAGACATGCAGTGACAAGTACCATTTTTTTTCTTGGGGGAGGGAGGTGGGGGGGGGGGGGGGGATACAAGCTAATTATTTGGTTCACCCAAATAGGAAGAAAAAAATAGGTAAAAAAATGACTGATATTGGTCAAATGAACATGTAATTGCATCATGCCTAAAACTTTTAATCAGATTGGTCAATTCTTTGACTTGCGGTCTCAAATTTATTTAAACAAAATTAAAAACCTCTTTTTACAATCAGAATGTCTTATATTTCACTGACACAACCGACTGAGCAAGCAGAATAGATACAAGTATGTACAGTTACATGACCTCCATTCTAATTAGAGAGCAGGTACAATCGCTTGCAAAGGAAAAATACAAAACAAGGGCTTTGATAGTCAAAATGGATGAAAATGAAATATGTTATTACAATTAGAGATGTGTAATATGGTGACATGGAGGGCACGGCAAAAACTATTGACCTGAATGAATGAATGAAGACATGATGAAGAGTCTCATCTTGCAATTAGGCCTTTAAAAAAAAGATGTTGTATTGCCCTTTAGGTGCCGAAACATGGGTCAGTCGATCAGAATTTTTTTTTTTTTACTCCCTCTTTGGGCTGATATTTCTCAGTTTTGAATGCTTAAAACATTTTTTCTTCTAAAAAAAACGGTAAAAAAAAAAAAAAAAAATTTTTTGACAGCCGATGGTAGATTTCAAGATTTTTGGGTCGGTCGCGAAGGGCAATACAACATCTTTTTTGTTTAGGCCTTATCAGAGTGAAATGCAAGAATGAACAAAATATTGAAATCAAAGTAGAAAGGAGAAAAGAAATACTTTGCGACTATTCCCCATTAGTTCCTATATTTATTCTTTCTGTCCATTCTTGCCTTTTCTCTGATGAATACAAGACAATAAGCTTCAATTTGTCTTTATATGAGGAGGTTTATGGATTATATTTTTCTCATGAACCCATGAGTAATGATTTCATCCTATTCGCTCAAATCAGTGTAAAAATACTCTTTTTTTTTGCAGGGGCTCCTTTAGAAAATGTTGTTGTAAAAGTGTGATTTTCTCACAGCGATATTTATGTATGTTATTTTTTTAATCAGAATTATGGTGGAGCTTTGGAGAGCTAAATCGCTCGCCGTTTCTGTCTACTTTTTTCGCCGGCCCATATTTTTAAAAAAAATTAAAAAATCAGATAATGAAAATTATCATAAATTCTGGCTCATAGCTTGGCTAAATTGGCAAACGGAAATCCAAATTGCTTGCTCATCTGCACATTAACTTTCCTTTTTAGTACCCTGCCATTCTAGCACATGAAGATTATCACTTATTTCACACACATATATACAGGATTCTAGAACTACAAAGGGCCAACCTGCATACATCATCATGTAAACAATATACCTGTGAGACTTGAATACAACTGCGAATCTTCAATTAACCAATCAGATTCAAGCTTTTTGTGTTTAATACCACATTGAAAGGCAAAATCTGATTGGATGTTTGGGAAGCTGCAAGCAGGAGTAAGTTTTGCAAAATGACCCTGAGCATTAAAATACACTGTTGGCAATGAATAGGAGAGATTTTTAAAGAAAGGGTGAAATCAGTGGCAACAAATAAAGGAGAGAGGAGGTGACATTAGTAAGTAGGAATGAGATTTGGGCACACTCACCTTGGCAAGGATAGTTTGTGTGATCATCTGAGGAAATGTGGACACATATGGTGCTTAGTGTGGTATGAGTGGATTAGTCATAATTGCACACGACACCAGAAGAACTGACACATATTCAAAGGGGTGGGACTGAGGATATAATAATGGTCTATTTTCTGTTTTTACTATCATGAATCTCTGTTGAAACTTGCCCTAAAAATACCAACCCCAAGATAACTTGATGATCTAGAGTGAGTCTATGCACAAATGTGAGCTCTGATATCCAAGGGGTTAACCAAATATATTTTAACCATACCGGTAATTCATTGTTGGTGCTTACTTATCGAAAATAAGCATCATTTTGCCTTTTATATACAAATGACCAGGAATAAGATTTATATGTATTTTGCTATCTCACTGAAATTGCTCTTTAGTATTCACATTAACATATACATGCAAACCTGACTCTAGGCATAATAAATTAGCGCCACTAATATTAATTTTCACGCATGCAATTCAGTTGGCGGCTTTAAGCAACAGGTTATGGCATGATCTAAAATTGGATATCAAAATACAAATATTACTACCACATAAATATTTTCAATTTTAAATGCATGTTCAATAATTAGCAAATATAAATAAGACTACCACATGTACATGTATACAATGCACATAACTAAAATAGCCATTGGTTAAAGGGCAACCCAACTCTGGTAATAAGTTCATTTGTATGGAAGCAAAAAAATAAAATAAACAGAATGGCGAAAGTTTGAAATAAATCGGACCAATCATAATAAAGTTTTTAATGTTTGAAATATGAGATCACTAAGTCAATGTGAATCTCAAATTGGCAGTTTGGTCAGTGGAGTGTTAAAAAATATCATAAAATTCTGTTTTTCTGCTATTTAAGTGCCTTCTCTCTTGGGGCACTACTGTACTCAAAATTTATGATGGGTTGCGTATCATCGTATTTCCTTTAAAGAGAAAGATCCTCCTTGGTCATACTTTTTGGAAAATAAGTTTTTACTTTTTAGTCATTTAATGTATTGGAACAAATGGGAAAGGTGTCCACTACTACATGACAGAAACATTACCTATTCAGCCAATTTGAAGAGCTCATATCTACAGTGATTATAACTTTCAATAATTTCATAACATTCTCATGTTTTGTCTGATCTTATTCAAAATGTCACCAGTATACTTCTCTGATTTTTCTGCTTTCCTCTAGAGTAGTTTGCTTTCAAGGTTGGATTACCCTTAAACATGAACATAAACTAAATGTGCATCAAATAAACATACACATTATGAGGGATCAATAGATGATATAACATCAATTACTACAACCTTTTCTTGGTAGAAAAATCACTTTAATGAGGGAATATCTTAAAGTAATTATAACATTCTTTACGTGTGCAAGTAATTCTAAGTACAGATAATTTAACTTAATGAAATGCAAGGTTGCTGTATTTTTTCATGAATTTTTTCTTCAACTATATGAAAATTAAAAGCTTATAGAATATTTTTGAAGCCTGGCGTTGGTGATTTGGGATTTAAAAGAAAAATATATGCATTAAGTACATTGTAATGCCATTTGCTGGCATTAACATGGCTCCACATTAACAATTATGGAAGGGGTCCAAACTGAAATTTGTACACTCTGGATGCAGGAGCCCTATGCGATTTTTTTAATTTTTTTAATTTATTAATTTATTTATTATTATTATTATTTATTTATTTTATTTATTTCTTTATTTCTTTATTTTTTATTTTTTTTAATTTTATTTTATTTTTTTATTTTTTATTTATTTATTTATTTTTTTTTGGGGGGGGGGGCGGTCCAGACTTAAATTTTGGGTGCCCATGTTACCAGGACGCCTGTTAGTGTCAAACCCTGATTTAGTTTTCCTTCAGGCTAAATGTATATATATATGTGACTACATAAGGCATAAAGGTATATCAAATGGCTCTCAATATATTAAGACCCAGCAACAACTCTCAAGCCCCAAGTGCAACATTTGCCCAAGCATTTGTAAAACAGGTTTTCTGACACCAGTAATATGAATGCACATTCATGCAGAAAAAGAATGATTCAATGCTGTGAAAACGATCTCATTTTACATGTATGTGTTTAAGAGGCAAGGAAAATAAAAATAATGGATGATTTAGAACCAATTGCAAGAATGACAATTCCAAAAGAGAGCAATGTTATTCATCTTCCACCTTCGTGTTGTAATGATATGATGACTCTACATGTTTCTAGAAGAGACTAGTTTATCCTGATTCTACTAATAAAGCCTTTGGGGGTAATGGTTATGTTATGTTAATTTCATTTTCTTCTTCTTTCATATTATCTTTTTGTAGCTGCACACTCAAAGCTTTTTTAATCAAAACAATTGCATACATATATATCTTTTTAGATATGATCTTTAAATCACAATTCGTAAACATCATGAATAAGTGTATTTTTTACATGATTACAGGTCTTAATACTTGAACCAAGTGTAAAGTTACATGATTTAAATTTTCTGTTTAAAAAAATAAAAAATATCAAAATAGAACTTTAGCTCCTTTACCCAAAGCTTGACAAGCTTATCTCTCAATTGTGATACAGCACACTTTCTTAAACACCTTTCAAAGGTTTTAAAGTTTCCATCATAACAAAGTGCTTCGTGCTTAAGTTTAGAAATAAGAAGACGAAGAGGACTATATCTCCCATATGACTCCGCCCTAAATTCATTATAGGTAATGGATAGAATTATATGTGAAGCTTTTTCCTCAAGTCGTTCTTGAGATATCGCAATAACGAGGTCAATACCTTGAATTTCATAAGTTGACCTCTGTGACCTTTGACCTTTGACATAGTTACTCTAAAATCTAATAAGATTGTCTTCCTATGGTGATACACACTATCATCAAGTTTGAAGTTCACCTCTCAAGTGGTTCTTGAGATATCGCGTTAACGAGAAAGCGGACGGACGTCCAACCCGAAAACTTAATGCCTCTAGACCATCTTCAGTGGGCGGAGGCATAAAAAGATAAAGATTAATTGATATCAAAACTATACAAATCTATAAAAATCAACATGGTAAAATAAGGTGGAACAACAAATAACCAGGTTACTACAATCAAAATTAACAACATGTCATACTCACTTGTTGGTTGAGTGATAGTAATGTTTCTTCATTGATGTCATTGCTGGCTACAATCATTAGTTTCTCCAACCAAGGTAAGCTATATCTGTAGACAATAAGTGTAAATAAGAAAAGAAGTTGTGACAACAATCTTTTTGGATTCATGATCATCACCTGCTGGCAGTACTGTATATTGATCCCCTTCAACGTACAGTAGATTTTTAGACCTACTTTACTGTATCAAATGTGAATGGTTACGACTGGCAGTAACTTTAAATTAATTTAAAAAAAATAATTTAAGTCCAGACCCTACTCAAACCCCTTCAAAAATGATGACAAACAACAACAACGATAACAAAGCAAGAATGAAATTTCCTTGACAAACAAAATTGACAGTCACTATCTACTACAGTCAAACCTGTCTATGGCGACCGCCCAAAGGAAACACAAAAAGTGGTTTTTGTAGACATGTGCTCTTTGTAGACAGGTTCCTTTAGTACGTGTCTCAATGAGAAACCATTTCCAAGGGAAGCCAAAAATTTGGTCTTTATATACAGGTGGTCTTTGTAATCAGGTGGTCACTAAAGGAGGTTTGACTGAACTTAAGCCTTATATCAGATAATTGTAATGATTATATACATTAATAGAAGGTGGGGGGGGGGGGAAACAAGAGCTCACTCGGTTCCGACTGTCTTGAAGATATCCCTGACACAGAGGGACAGGTAGGCGAGGTCACCGCTGTCGATACGGATGCCTTTCGCCTTGTAGCCAACCTCATCCAGGGCTAGTGTGACAGCTAAGAAATTAGCAACACCACTCCTGTGAAAAACAAACAAAATGAAGAAAATAGGGATTAGGGATTGGGGTTTCCACTGGTAAAATAATTATGAATATATTCTATAGGCAAGTTAAGGCAAGGAAATGGAATGAAAGTCCTGTCAATAATATTTTGTTAATCTTGATAAATAAGTCCAGTCATTATGATAAATCATGCTTGTGATTCTCAATTCCATGATCCATTTGAAATTGAGGAGGTTCAGCGGAGATGAATCAATGAGAAAAGACATCCTTGCTCACAAACTATAAGCTCAAAATCCATCTTGGGGCTACTTTCTGACTACCCCCCCCCCCAAAAAAAAAAAATATATATATATATATATATATATCCCATTCTTGTAATTGTGTTAACACAATCCTTCAAGATGATCTTTCAGGTATTATGCTAAAACCATATTCATATGAATCTGCTTTCAAGGTTATCACAAATCAATACCCAATACCTCAGTCACACCAACGAGACTGACCACAGCTCGACTACACACCAAACAAAAAATCATTACCCCAAATAGCCCAAAATTGGTCGTTGTGCAGTCGGCCTATAGTTGGTTTGGGGGTGTGGCTGAAATATCAAACTAGTACTAGTGATAATTGGTCTAAGAATCTTGCGTCCAAAGACCACTACTCTACTGCACTAAGGAGTGTCTTGGTCGAGTGGTTTAAGGCGCTTGACTGTAGATGAAAAGGTCGAGGGTTCGAATCCCGACACGGCACTAATATCCTTTGGCCAGATATTAACCTGCACTAGCTACTCTCCACCCAGGTGTTAAATGGGTACCCGGTAGGATGCGACCAAACAGTTTTTGAGCGTCAAGTAACGCCTGGCTGGAATGCTCCCCAGGGAGTAGAGATTGTGCACACAATTGGTGCGGGCAAGTATTGAATCCAACGACCGGGGTAATAGTATGTCTGTAAAGCGCTTAGAGACATTATAGATGTATTAAGCGCTATATAAAAGCGGAATTATTATTATTATCATTATTACTATTGCACCTTGGGCCTTCCCATTGCTCTCAGACTTACTTGAGTACTTCATAGGTATCCACAAGTGCCAAGAAGCCTGTTGGAAAGGCGAGTGCATATGAGATGAACGCAGCAAGCTCGCCCTCGTGTGTCTGTTCTTGGAGAACTTTGATCAGCTGACAGACCTTCTCGCGACATCGGATACAGATCTCTACAAAGTCTACAGGAGGCTTGCTCTCATCTGCTGGTTGAAGCATCTGCATAACAAAGGGATTTGCATGGTAAAAATCTTGAGAGAACAGCAAACGATGCATTCACCAGAAGGCTCTGAGAAGAGTTCATCAGCACATTTAAAGTCCCTTTAAAGTTTTGGGAGCACCAAATTTGCCAAACATTTGATGGCAAAATTTTTTAATCAATATTCGACTTCAAACACATTTGTTTTGAAAATCCTTGCAGAAGTGTGTCTTAAATGAGATCCTCTTTCACACTTTAGAGGAAATTTAAGGTGTGTATTCTCTTAAAGAGGATACACAGTATTACCTTACCATGTTCCTATTGTTAATATTTAGCCTGTACATTTATAAGTCAATCAGAAATTGTTTGTTTTCTTCGTTCTACCTGATATTTCAGCACTTCCGACTCACATTCTTACATCCACAACCTCTGATTATTATTTGATCACACATCTACGTGTAAATGCGCTTTAGAAGAACCATGTGCATTAGTTATTTGATACCCCATTCACAGCGAAGAGATTAACATCAAACTGACAACAGATCAAACATTACATTATCCCGACTGGCCAAGAGTTGGTCACTTTTGGAGTGTGCTTGGGTTCATTTTTGTGGTATGTCTGAGACAAAAAGTCATTGTATCTACATTTTGTCTTTTCTTCATTTTACGTTCTAGTAATGTTCACAACATACCCTGTTCTTCACTTCATCAAGCCCACCGTATGACATGACAAAGGAATGTGCGTGAGTCCCTGTGATTGGAATGCCAAACAGCTTTCCGGCTAGTACATTACTTGTTCCGTTGAAACCTGGGATGGATCAAGCAAAATAAGAATCAACTTCCCGGAAAGAAAACAAGTACATTAATGATTTTTTTGTTTTACCAAATCCTTCATTATGACTTGGTCGATCATCACTTTCTCCTAAGGAAATACTGTCAAGTGATAATATGGATAAAACCCTTTACACAAATAACCAAATAGCATCTTACATGTTTACCCCCATATTGCTGGTAAAAAAAAAATTAAAATTAGTTCCAGCACTAGATATGTATACCATGTAGGCCCAGCTATCATGCATGCAATATCTGTGGCTTGCACGGTGCCAGCAGAATAGGATTGTGCAGCCATGCAATATTATGTCACCATCAAGACAATGGACTGCCAAGTGCCAATTATAGGGGCATCCGTTTGGGGTTGATCAAACCAAAATTTGCTATCATGTATTCAAGCCTACAAATGCAAGCAATACCCATTTATTACCAGTAAATTGTTATCCCCTGATTTCTTACATTTTTCTTTCAGGTTATGAAATACTAAAAACTCAAAATTGGATAAGATTTTATAATCATGGAAAGTCTTCTCACCTCCCATGTAGCAGTACCTCGAGGCCGAGAGCCCCCCATCGGGCCCCTGGGCTCTCCTCAGCCCAAACTCTAATAGTACCTTCTCTTTGCCTGCCGCTAACCGGAACCGTGCTGCATTGGTTGTTACCAGACTATGTGGGGAGTGGGGGGGGGGGGGGGGGGAGATGAAGAGCATTGTGAAGATAAAGGGATGGTTTATGTCATATTCAAACATTAGGGATATGACTCAAGTCATTAGAGTCGGTGATTCTACTCTTTCGTCAGTCTGCTTTTGTCTGACTCGTCAATACAATCTATTCACCATTGGCTGAAGACTTGAATGCCTACTTGACTCCATTCTAGATTTGTGCTACTAGTATATGGACTTGACTAGTACTTAAAATAAAATGAAGAAAAAAAAAGTTCAAATAATCATTGATTTGTCGAATCAGATATCCTGAAAGTGTTTCACATTAAGTCATACAACATCTCAAGATTTGACTCATAAATATCCAAAATACAAAACATGTCTCTAAATCTTCATAAAAAGCTAATATAATAATTTCTGATTGAAACAAATATTGGCTAGTCTGAACACAGCAATATAGTATCAATGAATACTGTAATGCTGCTAGAAATGTATTATTGCAGAGTTTAACACCTACAATGTGACACCCCCTCCCCTCCTTTAGAAAATGAAAGAAAAATATATATTCACAAGGGTCCTTCCAATATAAATCCATACCTAACTGAGAAAGAAATTGCAATGTGGAATGTGGCTCTCTGCTTTAATACTGGAAAGGGACGTTTACTAACTAGTCTGAATGCAGCTATCCATACCTTGCAAAATTGATGAGTGTCAACAGTGGCGTCTCAATCAACTGGAGCAGGGGCAGAGGTCCCTCTAGCCTTAACAGTGGCATTCTGGGAAACACAACACTGCCCTCAGGGATGGCGTACACTTCAATGTTAGAGCAGTCCAAGGTCTTCAGGTATTCAAAGAATCCCTCCTCGGTTGAAGCGGGAAGGGTTGTCTTCAGGTATGCGATGTCTGGAAATTAATTTTGAGAGTGAACATGAGGGAAAACATTTGTTCAAATTCAAAATTCTTCATATACAATGTATGTGCATTGGCTCCTATTCTATGGAACCATAATGGGAAATAAAAAAAAGCAGGAAATTGTAGGATGTAAAGAGAGAGAGAGAGAGAGAGAAGGGGGGGGGGGGAGAAGGATAGATACTGGTAGATAGATAGAGAGAGACAGACAGACCCAAATACACAGAGTTTTTTTTTTCTTTACAGAGCGCATCTGTTCTCTACTCCATTGTAGTTTGCACATGGACTGAAAATCAACTTGGTTACTAGGGAGATATAATGAAAATATAAAATACACATCCACACTGCATAATGATAATTGCACTACATCGCGTACATGTACTCAAACACACTCTAACACTTATGGCTTATTGCTTCTTGCTGATTACAATTCTGTAATGGTTTCTCATCAATAATGCACATTTTAATTATGCAAAATGTAATTTGTGGCATAATGAAAATGTAATTTTATGCGCAAGCACCTACAGGTACATGTACAGTGTACTACTCACTTTAAACAAATAATGCAAAAACTCATGCTAAAATGAAATTGGATCACAGTAATAATAAAGTGGTAACATCATATTTGCTCGTTGTCAAGGTTACTGGTTTTAAGCAACAGAGTCCGCGCATGAGGTTCACTGCAAAATCATTCAAGCAGAGGGTTGGAGCAGTGCAAATTCAGCGTTTGGCTCTGGTGTGATCACCACGCCTGCCTGACCACGCCATTGTTTGGCACAAAATTATTTGTAATCAGCGATCTCACAACTAGGCCAGTATGAATAGAAAAGAATAGAATATATCATTTATTGTCTTCTTTTTAAGATGTCACACTTTGGTACTCTATGGCTTAATTTTTCGTTATTACTAAAAATTGTGGTGTGCAGCCCTGCCTGCTCCCAAACCTATTTCCCATGACCTGTTAAACTAAACAATTTAATATGTTTTAGGCATGGTTGATAAATTTGTTGTATTACAATATAAGATAAAACTTTCATTGTATGAAAACTGTGAATGTGGTTACTCCTTACCGTGGTGAAAAATAACCATATTTATAACATGATCATCAACATCTACTCAAGTATTAGTTTCCTTCACAATACTTTTTAAACAGACTTTCCAACATGTATTTTAAGAGCTATGTATCTTTAAATTGGTAATGAACGATTGAACGATATACCTCCACCCAAAATAGATATATACAAAATAAAATTGTCCATCATACTGAATGGGGAGAGAGACACAAAGGGGAAAGTTTTATTTTAATTAAACACATAATTCACATGTAGGCAGTAGGCCTACCAGCTTAACCTTAACTCTTTCATCCTATCAATACCTCTGAAATATTTAACATCTCACAAATATCCCCTAATAACATCAATTTATTAACCTTTTAAAATCACAAGAAAATGTATACTGTTGTAGTCATACACTGTACATGTAAGTAATGGAGAAAGTTTTCATCATAGTGACACACTGGAAAAAAAACTGTTCTCCCGTTCCTATAAATTTATACAGAAAATACAAACATGTATATGATCAACGTCCCAAAAATTGATCAACTAATTACAAAAATAAGGTCGTTTTTGCTTGACCTTTGTGGCTTTCTATCACAATAGGATCAACTACAGAGTAAGTCCAGTAGTCTACTTCCTGTTGCCATGTTGGATGGATGTTTTTTCTTTCTATTCCTACCTTAGCAATAGTAAGCAGTCAAAACAAAACCCATTATCTATAATACTCCGTTTTACCAAGAATAAGGCTTGTAAATAATCCTTGCCTTTATTTCCTGTTTTGAAATGGACTTACATACATGTATAGGCAATGCTGTGCGTTTGGTTTCAAAACGGATCCTCTCATACTTCAAACAATATTGATGTTCTACTTTCTATATTTTCACTACCAGCTCAATTACAACAAAAAAATACATTTCAGTAAGAATTATTTTGCCTTAAAATGAAAGAGACTATGGGATTACAGTAGTGCAAGACAAACACAAGCACTTGACTGGAGACCAGTCACAAACATGCATTAACAAAGTTTGAATACAAATGCAAGGTTGTACAATTGCGGACTTGAAAATGACAATAAGAGTAGATTTTACACAAAATCCCTGGATATATAAATGTTTTATTATCAACTTTATGTTGTACTCATTCATTCAATGAGGCATGCACCTGTGCTCCTTGAAATGCTTTTTTTAAATTAAAATCAAGCAACAGGTACTACAGAGTACCACAGATCAAACTACTGTGGAACCCCAGTCCCACCAATGAAAACGACACACAATAATTACATTACCCCAGAAAGGTCAGTTTGGGGGTGTGACTGAGGCGCTTGTATTTATAAGTCAACAGGAGTACATTGTGTACACATCTACATGTACAAAAGAATACCGTGATAAAATGCAAATGAAAATGGCGTTTAGCTAAGGAGAATAAACATCTATTCAACCTTTTGTTCACACATATAATTTTTATTTGTAGAACTCAACTACAGGTGTATGTACATGTAGGAGTATGATCCTCACATACATTTTTGTTGTTTTGTCAAGGGTCTTTGCAATTTTGCATACAGTACAAATGTAGAAGATTGACTATAGAAATTGTATTTCATGTGGTCATGGGCAAGGCATTGAGTGCAGGTACAGTAATGCCTGGATGGGAGATGAACCCTTGGTGTGGGCGAACAGCATACCCAGGTGTCAGGTGCTGTACTTCTGTTAAGAGTGTAGCATACATGTACTTTCAGGTTTCCCTGGATTCCACAAAACCGGAGACTTCATCTTGGTGTTTTTTCCTTCTTTTTATATACCACAGGCCTACAAATACTAAGTTTGTCTTTTATAATCCATATCATTGTATGCCATGTTTGTAATTTTGTTGCATCTAGAGAGTTTTTTTCCTCCATATATTGAAAATGTCCTTAAAATTCTTCTTGAGCATTTTATTACTCCAGATGTTAGTTTGTAGGAATCCATGAAAGCAACAAAAAAAAAGTAAAAATAAAAAGCACAGCTCTTCTTGGTCCAAGCCATGCTGATTCCTATTAATGCACTCAAACCACAGTGTCTGGCAATCTGTAAAAATAAACTGCATTCTCTGTTCTAATGCATGTAAATTGGGGGTTTAACCACCACTAACAAAAAATAGTGATTATAGCAAATTCTACTGCCTCTGTAACGTATAACGTATATATGGAATTTGGTTGTTGATTGTGATGGTTATTATATGGACCTAGATTTATCAAAGTAATGACTCTGACAGGGTACTTACAAAAACACTATAAACTAAAATGTAGTTCATGGATAAAAGCACACATCAAAGGTCAGTGCTATTTATTGTATTATGTCCCTGCCCTTTCGTAGTTATTGGTACACAAAACTGAACACCTACATGTACATATACATTAACTGCGCACAAGTCCTTGACCTAGACAGATACAAAACTCACAATGCATGCAATTAAGCTAATTGACCAAAGTATTATAAAATACATGTACACCGATAACAAAAAAAACAAAAACCCAAAGTAAGACATGCAAGAAATACAGTGTATAATATGTCATAGACTACAGTGTGTTTACATTAAGTGTTCTAGAATGGCAATAAATCGTCAGTCTAGAAAAGTAGTACAGAAGAAAGGTTATTCATGCTGGGACTATAACTGTCACAAGTTTCCCACTTGTTCATTAGTGTAAACACTGAACAAGAGTTTTTAGTAAATCTGATCATTTTTAGAGTAAAAAGGAACCATAGGACAGGAAACATAAAACTGAACTTTCTCTGAATGTCAAGGAATAAAAGACACCAACAAAAAATCGTATTCTATAACAGTAGGCCTATTGCTCTAGTTCATATCTTACAGTTATACTACATGTAAGCACAATACCAACATCAACCATGGACTATTCCGAACTCTAACCCTCAAAAACAATTAAAAACTCCTTACTTTAATCTTTACTTACCGTAACAATATCTTCTGTGAAATAAAACCTTGAGAAATTTCACCAGAGCAAAGTTTGCACCAACACTATCCACAAATATTCTACAATAACCACAAATTCATAAGAGAGCCATGCTCATACTTTTCCTGCAAAATTTGAAGACCAATTTACCTGAATAAATCTTAAACTCACCTGAATCACTGAACTCAAAGTTCTGTAGGAACTTGAGGCATTCGCTAAGTCCTGCAAAGATGGTGAACTCTCCGTCAAAGGGATTCTTCCTGAAGAAGAAGTCAAAGACAGCGCTGTCATTGGTTCTCTCACTTTTCCAGTAAGCATAAGCCATGGTCACCTGGTACTGGTCAGTGAGCAGGGGCTGGACAAGGCCATAGGGATAGCTGGCCGCCCTACGAAGCTCAGCAGGCGAAGGACCATTCATCGCTGGCACTTTGTCGCTCTTGCTGCTGCTGTTGTTCAGGGATGTGTTAGGGTTAGCATCCCCAGCTGACATCTTGGTTTCGCTTGGTCAAAGCTAGATTTTAGTTTGCTGCAAGAGAGAACCAGGGTAATCATCCTTAGAATTCTAAATAAAATGTTTCTCTGCACAGGTACAGGTTACTGTGCATGACCTTTTCAAGGTCAACATAAGGCATCACTTATTGAAAACTACAGTAGTTTAAATTGTAGAGTTACATGTACTGTGATGCTCTGATATCTCCTTTAAACCTTTAGTCCCTAAACAACTCCAAGGCCCAAACTGCTAATAAATTTTGCCTAACCTGACCAGACCAATATTTCAATTTTGACATGCTTTAGCAGAAATTACATGTACGAGATCTGGAGGAGTGAAATTTCTTGTGCGGTACCTACAGTAGGATGAAGAGCTGTCAAACCTCCTGCATTTGGAGGGAGTCTCAAGCCACCACGCTCATTCTCCGACCATCCCAACAGCTCGTAGCAGAAAAAATGTTGCTACCTTGCCCTTCTTCCTGCTTCGATTTTTATGTCAAAACCTCCCGCCAAACATGGTAACCACAATTTTACCTTTTTTTTTTGCTCAATGGGGGTGAGCACTAAAAATAAAATGTCTCAGATCCTCAGTACTGTAGATAACTTCACACAGGCGCGCTCCTGCCTGCAACCCACCATCGGTATGCACTTGTATTGTGCAGCGGTTTGCCGTGAAACCTGTCAAAAAGTGTATACTAATAATATCAATGTTTTTTTCAAAAAATACTCCAAAAATAACAAGAAAATTGACACGAAACAGGTAATAAACTTTTCTTTTAACTCATGATCTTTATTTGGACATTTAATGAATATTTTCTTCATTTTGGGTATGTTTTAGTAGGGTATGTTTTAGTAGGGTATCTCCATGCCAGAGTTACGGGTCAAATTTTGGATAGGTTTCTGAAAAAGCGCCAACCAATTTGTAGTAAAAAAAACTTTGCCGTCCATTTGGTAATAATTGAAATAATAACATTTGTGTAGAACATGAATGAGAGACCATAGATCGAATAACACATTATCTAATATTTTCAAAATCTCTGCGAACTTTGGTTATCCCTTCATAGACCTACATATACATGTACACTGTCCGTAGGCCCTACATCGGAAGTACGGTAGCTCAAACTTACGCCCAAGAGGCTACATCCATATGCATTTTGGGTATAGACCTATTGGCAATATCGAGAATCGGCAGACTAAATAAGATAAGAACAATGCATTCAAACAATACCCTTAACATTACATTTACAACAATTTAATTGAAAAGAAAAGAAAAGAAGACAGAGTGGTTTGTACTATTGTCTAGATCTATTTGTAGCCAGTGAAACGTGAATCAATTCAATTCAATTCAATTTATTTTGCCAAGCAATAAAAAACATACAGGGTAAAACAAAAGCAGTAGACTCTAGATCTAGACTAGACCATACAAAGTTTCACACAATTACAATTACTACCATAGATACGCACAGCTACACGAGCCACCAGACGTACCTCAGGAAACTCCTTTATCCAATACTCCACCCGCACCAATTGTTTTAAACACTCCTACATTCCACGTACCATCAAGGACTGGAACTCACTACCCTCCGAAATCCAAAGGATCACAAACATTGACACCTTCAAACTCCAAGCAACCAACTTTTTCCGCAACCAAGACTCAAGCAATAAGAACTAAACAAGCACAGTGCGCACCCCCTCATCCTCCTCGCTTGGTTCCTTACGGAACGTTGAGGAGTACTCCCGAAGAAGAAGAAGAAGAAGAATCAATTTACAAACATAAAAAATACAAAGGAAATTTCTAATGCTGGTAGCAGCCAGAAAGTAGCAGCCAGAAAGGAGGTGGTCCTTGTATGCAAAATCAAATTCAAACTCAAACTCAAAGGCATAAAATAATATTCTGGCCTAAGGTCTAGATCTAGATTACAATTTACAGATAGACCTATAAAGTATCGACTCTTCTCATTATTTGCTTGTGGCCGACGTGAGACTACGTGTTTCCCTAGTTAATATAGCTAATTCCCCATCTCCATCTCCCTCTCCCTAGCGACGGTTGCAAATTGACTGGCAGTGGTCATCGTCGATGGAGCAGCCGAGCTGGAACGAACAAGACGGCCGTCACAGCAGCACGGGATCGGAAGAGCCAGGGCGGCTAGCTGCGTGTACTTTGGTGGGAGTGTGGACTCCATTAATCAATTCCGTCGTCGTATTTCTAAAATGATTTACACTACTCCTACTATAGCAATAAATGCAAAATGTAATTACTTATTACTCACAAATTACTAGATGATATGGAAAGGTATCGTACAAAGCCAGGCCTCTTGGTAAGATGATGTCAACAAGTCGGTTCGAATGCAATTTGTAGCACTAGCTGTATTTCCGAGCTCCATGTACGTAAAAACGTAGCAAAGACTGATTATTATCAAGACAATTTACTCTGACTTTGTACCGTACCGTACTTTCGTAGTACGCTCTGCCGGCGCGGCAAGTGGCGATTTTTGTGAAGAAAAAGGGCTTGAAATGCCATAAAAACAGGTTTCTTTGGCTGCCCTGATATATTCATACGCCGTATTCAATCTTTTCAAAGTCGATTAATTTTCAAGAGCAAAGATGAAGAGCTCAGAAAACACTTTTAAACTACCTTAATTTTCATTAGGCCTATAGACTCTAGAATCTAGATCTAGATTAAATGCCTGTAAATCACAAGAACGTGTTTTAGAGTTTTGACATAATAATAATATATAGGTCTAGTCGATCGTCTGCCATAGTCAAAACAACTTAAATCAAATTAAATTTTAGACCCCAGACGCCCCCTCGCCTCCTATATAGGCTATGCATGCCTTAATTTGACCTTGCATGCAGCCACCATAGTTTTATAACACATGAAAACACTGAGGGGCTTTTAAGTGTATAGCAATTATTAGAAATTTTGAGAAATGTGTCTTTAATAAAATTTCAAGACCCCGTCCACGAATAAATCCCAGCGACAATATGCTATACTCTATATGACCAAAATGTAATATGACTGAATGTGAGCCTGTATGAGAGTACATGCTTGTATACCACAATGTGCTCGTGTGCTTAGTTTTGGGAATAACAATTCTTTGCTTGTTTATGTCTTTGACGAATCTAGGTACGGAAACTAGCTGCATGTTCCTGCATGCATGCATGCACGATTGCGCCACCAGATAGGCCTACCTAGCCCCACCCCTGGGAACACAAAATATATTTCCAAATCAAAGGGAATATTGTGGCATTTGAACACGAATGGACTGCATATTTTTATCAGGGATCATGAAATGATGTTACCTAAAAGTAGGCCTTATAGGCCATTCGAGGTAATAGAACTAAAAATAAAAGTTGAAAAAAATACGAGGGAATAAAAGAAAAGAAAAGGAAAAAAAGAGAAGAGGAAGAAGGAGGAGGAGCGAAGAGGACGGAGGAGGAGAAGAATCTTCCATAACTCAAATAACAAATATGTTGAATTCTGTTCTCAACATATTAGTTTGTTTAATTATGTCTTACATTGTACTACCCTTATATAACTTATATTACTGTAATATGCTTTGTATTGTATTGTATTATTGCAAATTATGTCTTGAAGTATGTTAAACTGTAACTTATATGTATTTTACTTTCTTTCTTGAATTACTTGCCCACAATTATACAACTTCCACACAACTGCGCTAGGAGTGTCATTTTTGACAGACATGGCGCATTATACATGTTCACTATTATTATTATTATTATTATTGTAGGTTTCATTTTCAATTACATATTTATTTTCAATATATGCCTGTAGAGGAACCCCATCATGAGATTAATGAATATGTTATACAAGTTTATAAGCATCATTGTATACAGCAGAGTAAATGAAAAGTGGTTTGGATATTTGATTGACAGCAACATAAGCATGTGCATTCCCTGAATTATAGGGACATAAATGCGAGTCGGTGAAGTCCCATAAGGCTCTTTTTTTATTGCCCCGACCAACCCAAAATATTTAAATCTACGGTTAGCTTTTTATTAAATTTTTATTTGTTTACCGTTCTTTAGATAAAAAAAATGTTTATTGCATAACAAAATTATTTATCATAGCATTCACAACTGAATAATATCAGCCTAAAGAGATTTTTTTTTTTTTTTAAATCGACCGACCGACCAAGGTGCTGGCACTGTAAGGGCAATACATCTCTTTTTTAAAGGCCTTATCATTCACATGGCCCCTACAGGTGTTCACTCTGTGTATGTGTTGCAGGGTTTTTAAATAACCACTCATTTTCAAAAGTTTAAATTGTGCACATTTTGTGAGCTGAAAGAGCTCCTGGCAAAGTTGCCTACTGAAAGGTTTTTATGATATCCTGCAAATTTATGTAGCCCAAGGTGGCCTGAATACTGAAGGATATACTCTTCATAAAACTGGGAGAGATGATAAAATGATTTGAGGTGGGACACATGCACTATGGGTCATCCTTTATCTGTTGGCCGTTCTCTCTCTCTCTCTCTGTGCATCTCTTTCCTTAACGCACTCTCATATTTCTCCCTCCCTTTCTTCCTCCGTCTCTCACCATCCCCTATCTATCTTTCATCTTGCATATCCTATGCTTTCTCTCACATTTTGAGAGTTTATTTTTCTCAAACAAAACTGTACCATAAGTTCTTGATTCAATTAACACTCATAACTTTCAGCATAGTATGCAACTATTCATACCCTTGATTTATACACACACACACACACACACACATAGGATTCCACACATATTTTATATCACTGACTTTACTTTATTATCATCGAATTTACTCAAACTGTTGGGAATGATTGTATGTTTTGTTTTGCAACTAGTAACAGATTATTGTTTCATTTGACTGCATTTCTCAATTAAAACATTTCATTTCTTTTCTTTTTCGAGGCTCAAACTATTCAATGCCATTTCTATGTACAAAACCTCAAATGTAAAAAATAAGCATCCGATTAAATCTCAAATACACATTTAAAAATTACTAATTTCTCAAAACGTTAAGCCCGACTTCAATTTTCCAGCTAAATATGAAATACACTGGCATGGCCATGAACATTAAATCAATTCTGTATGATGCGCTATTAAAGAATGGTATTGGTTTTGGTACTTTTCACGTATTCCCACATGCCAAATTAGGCCCACAATGCCAATTAACATCCATCAAGTAGTATATTTGGTAGACTATCAGTATTTATACAAAATAACATTGCTTGTATGAATAGACCTCTGGCATAGGTTCAATGCATCCTTCCAAACAGAAGAAAACATAAGTTGAACCATTGTGTACAGTAGTTGCATATATCAAAATAAATATGTATTGGGCTTGAACAAACAAAAAGTTTTCTCTCATAAAAACAAAGGAGATAAGAGTGTCTAACACAAATGGAAAACAAATCACAATACAATAGTTATTCCAGCATAACACAAATATCCACTGGCAGGTTACATAACAAGCATTTAGGCTATGACTTTGGTTTTACTTTGAGGAAATTGCTTCTTACTTTTGGAGTGTATTCCCAACTGATTCTCAAGGTAGGTGGAAATACATAAACCAAAGAGAACCAAGTTCACAACCAGTACTAAAAAAGCTGCGAACATTGAGAGAAGTATCAATTTATCTAGAGATTTAAACCTTGTAAATGGTATGTTTTACAGGTAAATTTGTAAAGGAGACAAAGTAGCTTACTCTTTAGATGACGAAAGATATGAGACTACTGTTGGTATTAAATTGTTAAGTATATGACATATCAAAAACTACCTTATGCTTGCCTTGAAAAGACACAAAAATGTAGAACAAAAACAAAAAGCGTTCACGTGGATGAAGTTTTCATGAAGTTTGCATGAAGTCGTGATTTGGGAAAGATTCATGCTGCAAAATAGTTGATTAACAACATGACCGGTATCAAACTTTTCCAATTCACAAGTTTCTTGCGAGGAAAAAGTTCTGTCCCTGACAACTCGAGGAAGTTTCATGTCATTTTTTCAGGTTTTGATTTACATTTTCTGATACAGCACTTAAAATATTATTACAAACGAGGTCAGCAGCAACTCTGTAAAACCTGCCATTCCACTACTAGTAGCAGCCAAAATGTATTAGAAAGAGTATACTAAATGGATAGTTGTAGAGTCAAGAAGCACATTATCTCACAATGTCTAGATGGTCTTACAATACACCGAGCATAAAAGTAATAAAGCGTAATAACACTGACCATACACTGACTCAAGCAATAATCAGTTGTTCCCACTAACAATACTGTAAGCACTGGTCTGATAATGCCTTAAGCACTGAACTAACAATACTATTAGCACTGATCTGATAATGCCTGAAGCACTCATCTGACAATGCCGTAAGCAAAGATCTGATAATGCCTTAAGCACTGAACTAACAATACTGTTGACACTGATCTGATAATGCCTTAAGCACTGAACTAACAACACTGTTAGCACTGATCGGATGCCTTAAGCACTGCACTAACAATACTGTTAGCACTGATCTGATAATGCCCCCAACTCTCAACTGACAATGTCTGAAGCACTGAATTTACAATGTTTCAAACACTGACTTGACAATGCCTAAACCACCAACTGACAAAACACCGAGCACTGAACTGACAATGCGTGAAGCACTGATCTTCCCATACCTAAACACTGTCATCACAATGCCATCATACATGTGATGTACACAGAAAGGAAGCAGAGATATGTACAAAAATAGAAAGGATCCATTATGAGATGGTCCTCGGAAGAAAGAAAGTGTGAAGAGGTTTAGAAGATCTCGCTGTCATCTGGGGCATCAAGGTCCCGGTACTGGATTAGAGAGCGTGGGTCACCCCTGAAATACAAAAAAAGAAAAGAAAAAAGAACATGATCTCATTAAAAACTGCAAACAATTATTAAATTGGCTAAGTACTCCTATGTGCTGAACTTTAACATGGTGGTAATAAATTACTTATAGAAGCTTTGCATGCATAAACTGAGCAGATATAAAAGAAGAAAAAACTACACATGCTATGTAAGTGAATATCAGAACTGATTGTACCAAGATTTTGTATCAACATGCAACACTGGTAGTTGCATTGCAAGATCAAGAAACATTTTCAGAAAAGTATGATTTCCTTCAATTCCCAAAACAAAACATAAGTTAAGTGCACATTGACATGGCTCATTCAAATACACAATAAATTGCAGTGGATTAAGGTAGAAATCTTTTTTAACTTATAAATAAATGGAAAGTGGGATGAAAAAAGCATGTGCTCAACAGAAATCCTTAGGGTAACTTAACTCACTTATCTATTTGTTACAAGATAAAGAATTGTGAAGTACATTACACTTACAAATGCTGTTATATATTGTTGCATCAGTTTCCCATAGCATATATATTTCAATAGGCCTTAAGTCAACCTTTTTAGCTATCTTGTCCTGATGGGGCAACTGAAATATTCCTAGTCTATTCTCACCACAAAGTATGTAGTCTCACCTTCGATGAAAGTTCCTCTGGTTGCCGCCCTGGCTGGAGTAACTGCCTCCACCATAAGATTGGTCATATCCTCCACGTCCGGACTGATTGAAGCCTGAAGAAACAAAGCATGACAATTTGTCATTCTTAAAATTAAAATCAAGTCTTCTACGAGGAAATGCTATAAAAGGCACACTGGAGAAAGATAATCGTAAATTTTACTTATCCCGTTCGATGGGGATTACTCATGGAGAGGGGAGGGGAGGAGGAGGAGGAGGAGGAGGAGGAGGAGGAGGAGGAGGAGGGAAGAGGAGGGAAGAGGAGGGAAGAGGAGGAGGGGAGATGGTTTGGAAATGTGGCAAGAAGAGAGGCAACACACTGACTCCAGAGAGCTCTAAACTTTCCAGTCACCGTAAGAAGACCTCGCGGGAGACCCAGGAAAACTTGGAAGGGAAACTATAGAAGAAGATGCCAAAAAATCTGGCACCAGTCATATGGATCCCACAGACAGGAAAGCTTGGAAAGCAGCCATTAAGGAAATGAAATGTCCAACCCCACAAAGTGGGACAAATGGACTTTAAATGCTGATGATGATGAGGGGAGGGTGAGGAGGAGGAAGAGGAGGTGACAAATGTCAAAGGGGAGGATCGGAAGAAAAAAGAAATTGTGACAGTATGTCCACATTTTTGTACCTCTGCTACTCTGTGAGTATCCCTGCTGACCCCTATCTCTGCCTCCTTCATAGCTACCCTGTTGCTGGTAGTTCCTGCCGCTCCTCTGCCCATTGTAACCTGAGTCTTGTGACTGGCTTTCGCTACTGCTGGGCTGGGATGGCTTGGGCTTGGCAGCTTCTACAACCTTGTGTCTATTCGAGTCTTGGAGGTAGTTGTTGAAGAAAAGCACCTGCGAGTATTCAAATAATAATAATACTCAGCTTTTATATAGCGCTTATTACAATCACTAAGTACTTCCAAACTACCCCGGCTTTAGCTGAGCTACCATTACAGCGTTCTAGCATTTGAAAGAATTAATTCCTGCCAGGTACCCATTTACATCACCTGGGTTGAGTGTGGCAAATGTAGATCAATGTCTTGCCAAAGGACATAGTGCATGCAGTAGGTATTAGGCTTGGTGGAATTCACTTACAACTACATGAAGCACCTCCATGCTTACAGTCAAGTAGGCTCATCAGGAGGGTATAAATCATGAGATGCTACTTGTATGACACATGACATCTGAATGGTACTCACCCTTTAGGGCAGTTACATCTGCCTTGAGACATCTTCCTCAGGTAAATACTAGCAAATTTAAGTTTGTGTCAGTTAATCATTTAACAAGAAAAAAAGGGAGCTGCATAGGCAAGTTCGGATGAGAGAGGACAACCCATTTGGAGCTTTTGTACCACTTTTGGTACACTAAGTTCAATTGCACATGAGCCAACATTCTTATTTTGGGACCTGTAATTGGATTGGTTTATATTTGCTCCAGCGCACAACTGCTCTGGGCTTTATGTCGTCAAAGATATACAGTAAGGTTTAGGGTTGCCATCGGTGTTAAGGTCAAGTTTAATATTGTGGGTTCAAGATGACAGATACACAAGATATACGTGTAATATATGCAAGTAAACTGAGGCTTCACATATCCCATACAATTTCATTTCCCAATGACAGCTAACTTGAGAACCCCTTCAACTCCTGTCCCTAGTAGATGACACCATTTTTAACCCACCTCTTTCTTGACTGCTTCTATCTTGTCGCCATGCTTGTTGAAGATGTGTTTCCTCACAAACTCTGGTCCCTTGAACTTCTTCCCACTGAGAGGACAGAGCCACTTGTCCTTGGCGAGTTCCTTGGTGTTGGCCTTGATGAACTTCTCCACCTCCGTACACACCAACAGGTCAAGATAGTCAAGGAAGTTTACCAAATTGATCAACTTCATTATAACACTATACGAGTGTATGAATCAGCCCAAGAAAAGGGTATAACTTTCATCAAGTCTGAATGCTCCTTACGTAGCATTTATTGCTGATTGAATTTATCTGTTTCAAAGAGTTCTCTTCTTCAATCTTCATTGATTCCTTTTGATTCCCCAGGCATAAATTTGGGAAATGGATGAGGTCAACAATCTTTCGTATTGCACAAAATGTGTATACCATTATTTTGTGATGAAATTATATTGGCAATTTAGCTACTAGTATTTCTTATAAGAATAACAATTCAGCACATGCAATAAAATGGGCTAGCAATGCATGTGTAAACATACAATGTAAAACCTAGTGAAAATACGTGTCCACGTCATCTGCGAAAATACAGGTACCTGTGTGCGAACTACTTATATATTCACAAAAAATGACCCACTGAATAATTTCTGTTTTATGTAGAATGGTGCAAAATTGAACCTTTGTGTGAGATTCAACCATAGAACACCTAGATATATGCCATGACAAAATCGCCACTCATTGCTGCAGTGTAACAGTGGGCGATTTTGCTATTTGTGATGAGCAATATTGGTTTTCATTTATTCATTGTAATTTTGAAAGCATCAATTGTTACAAGTTGTTAATGCATAATAAGATATTCCACTATTTGCTGTGGATTGCATTATGAGTTTAAGGTTTGGGATGGATTTTTATTTGAAAGGATATATTTCCTGATCTTTCTTTCCAAGTTTGCCGAGTTCTTCATCAGACATCTTGGTCTTCACGTTGATGAGAGGCTGAATCTTGTTCTCAAAATTACTCTGCCAGTTTTCCACTGAAGAAAAGAACAACAAAACACATTGATAAATAAACTATTTTCCCCTTCAAACTTCAAAGTGAAATAACAATAAATAAACTATACCCACATATTCATATGTATATGTGAATGGCATCTACCAAATAACTCTAAAAAAATGTTTGCTGAGTAATAAGCAAAAGGAATATGGCATTCCATAAAAAGACGGGACCATGTCCAGGCCACGTACGTTGTTAGTATTCAACATTGTCCAATGCTAATAAATTTCATGGTGTCAAGCACCTGCGCGGCTTTCAGCCAGTTTTCTGTATTCTGGTTACAATCTGCTGGACAAAACTTTACCACAGCATAATCATTACATGAAAACAATTCACAGTGATGGTAAGACATGATCAATGAATAAACTTAGTTTAGGGTTCGCAAAATTTGCTTTACTGCTGGAAGCTTACCGTCTCTTTGAGAAAGGCGATTGGGTGGATTCTGTCCTCTGCAGTGCATGATGCCACACCTGTTTGGCATCTCATCCTCAATCTTATACACCGAGGCATTGTAGTAATCCAACGAGTGAACCACTCGAAGATACAACAAGAGACGATCGAGAACCTACAAATACAACAAAGAGAAGACAATGATTTAATTCATTTTTTCTATTATATATTGTAATACTGTATGGCTCATATAATATGTCATTTTAATTTGTGGATATTTAAGTGGAAAAATAAATCAAATCAAATCAAATAAAATCAAATATTATTACTAAGAGCATTTGTAAAGATGATCCAGTGAGAAGATCATACCTTAAAGTCTTGGGTTTTCTTAAATGATAGATAACCTTGATGCATGTCAGGGTGAGTCTTACATATAACTGACTAGAGTGAGGCATTTGTGTTGTGCCGTTTTGTGTTGTGTTCTACTGTGTTATGTATACATCCATTTACTTTCTTGATATGTTATTATTATAAATATGTTATGCCATTGAGTTTTATTTTCAACACGGATGCCAGTTAGAGGGCCTGAAAATCACCTAGAATGAGCTATTTTGTACACAAAAAATCCTAAACTATGGTCTGAAAATAACTTGCCAGGGCCTGAATTCAGGCATCCTTGTTTTAATAAAAAAATATTATTAAAAAAAAAAAAAATACCTTGCAGAGGTGGTCATCCTTCTCAAAGGTGATGTCTCCCATCTCCTGGCCCTCTTCCTGTCCATCAGCCTTCATGCCAAGCAGTACCTCTTCCTCAGCGCTCAACTCATCTACAAGGTAGTCTGTGATGTTCTCAAGGATTGGGTTTCTCGCAGGCAACGGCTCTTTGGGCTCTTGTTTAGCAGGCTGCTATAAAAAATGAAATCAGTGGAACAACTTATTTTCCAACCCATGAGACTTTTAGTTATTCTACTATACAGGGAACAAAATATAAAACAATTTCGGGGGCTACTTTTCAAGCTTACTTGCATGAAAATAACACTCTTTAATTTGTTTAGCATTGAACTCTATGCACATTCTTGGGGGTTACTTCGCCCTGAGATCCAGTGTATTTTTTTCCCTGCTACTATACATGAATATTCCACAATACGAGAAGCTACAAGTTTTGCATGACTTTAAGTTTAAAATGACAAACACAAAATCTCAAATTCTAAAATAAAACAAGACATAATCTTATTGAGGGGGTCAATAATGTAGTGCTAACTCACATTCTTGCTATTTTGAGATAAATGCGATGATTGAAAGTTAGTATCATAATGCAAGTCAATGGAGGATTTAAAGCTGCATATGTTATTTGGCCAACCACTGCCTGAATATGAATATGAATCTGTACAGTCATAGATGTGCAGGTATGACAGTGTAGTCAGTGCGGGTGTCACACCTTTAATGAAAGTGAGGTTAACCCCTAACCCCATCAATTATCATGAACCTTGTGCAGGTCAGGTAATCTGATCTCAAATACCGAGACCTTATAAAAATCTTCTTGCTAGAAAGATTTTTCCATCCCAAAAATGTACTCAGGCTCTGAATAATAACAGTACTACAATCCTATTTTACTGATACTTACTAGATCCATTGTAGACTACATCAGGATCCGTTTCACAAAGCCTTTTTTTTCAATGACAATTGACAAAAATCAGTGACAAATCTGCTGATAACCAATCTGAAGCAAGGATTTCAGTAGCTTATAACAAAAAACTTTCATTTGTCACTGATGACAAGTTTTGTGAAACGGGGCCCTGAAGAAGCTCAAGAGTTACTTCATGATTTTGAACTTACTGTTTCTTCTTTCTCCTCAATGCTACCCTCCTCAGTCTTCTCTGTCTTCTCAGTCTTCTCCGTCTTCTCTGTCTTATCTCCCTTCTCTCCTTCAGCTGCCGCCGCGGCTGCTGCTGCAGCCTCCGCTTTCTTCTTCTCTTTCTCCTCGTGCTCTTTCTTCTTCCTCTTGTCATCCTTCATCTTCTGCTTCTTCAGATCCCATCCGGGCTCACCGGTGAAGAGTTCTTGTTTCTGGTCCATGACCTGGACGAGGCGCGCTGCCAACTTGAGGTCAGATTTGACGATGTTCTTGTGGGCGGTGATGCCACTGACGGCACGGATGCGGTGGGCCAGGTCTCGGTTGACAACGGGACTGAGTTCACAGTCTCTTAGCTGGAGAGGTGATAAAGTCAGGAACAGACCAATGCAAGATGAGGTTTATACAAAATGTGAAGTAATGACAGAGCAGCATCACTGCAATCAACTTCATGGAAAAAATACACACTTTCTCGTCTTTTGTCTTCTAAAGGAAGTCTACAAGTTTTATCCTGTCTACACCTTTTTTCCATTCTCTATCCTCACTATATCTCCTATTTTTTGTAAATACTGTTACATTGGGTTAGAATCACATCAAAATTTGTTCAGTTCTTGTAGTAACTAATGAAATGGACAGACAACTAGAAAACATAATGAATCACAATAACGATGCTGAAAGGGCATCTGTAGAAAGACACTATCTGCCTCTATCTTGCTCTTCTTTCTTTTTATCTCTCATGACTTACCCTAATGCTGCTAAGATTCCAGCAGATTTCCTTGATGTTGACCGTCCTGTCGAAGGTGACCCATCCATGGCGCTGGAAGTTCCTATCTCGCTGTGGATCAGCAAGGGCCACTCTCATGAATCCTTTGTATCGCTTACATAGCTGTGGGACACATTAAACAGTGAAAAATTAATCATTTCATGCTGCAAAGAGGTCTTTTAGCTCTACTGGTGCTATAAGATTTTTTTTGTTTGAACCGTTGAGTTGAAACCATGAAAAATTCTACTTCTACATGTTCATGTTTCACATTTAAACACTTAACAGGGTCGTGTCTGTTTCTACCCCTGAAGCTCCATCATTTTATCATTGATATGGACTTTATAAATATTCATTTATCAAGCCATTTACCACTTTCTTGCACACAGCATCAGTACACCAAATACGAGGTGGAAATCTTTTTTAAAGATAAGTAGTGTAGTCTACTCATATCCTGTCAAACTTAAAGATGTTCATGCTTGGTATATAGTCGTTCGTGAAGTAGGCAACTTGGCGATCACTACATAACACTGAGCCAACAGGTATTACGCTCCCCTGCGTACGTCCATGTGCTGCCCTCTATACATCCAGGCTTGAGCAACTTTAATATATTTTCATATAATTGTCGTCCAAGTCAGGCTTCTTGGCAGGAATTTGTGTTAACCTTGGTCCGCAATTGGGTAAAATATTGCCTAGCAGCATCATCCCAGAGGTGGTTTGGAAGGAATAAAACAAGGTGCAGGTCGAAAGGGAGTCTGCTCACTATTTATAAGGACCGCTATTTATAGAAGACCGCTATTCATTTAGTCACGTGTTATGAAGAGCGGTCCGTGCAAATGGCGGTCCTAATGAATAGCAAGGTAAATTGTCTATGGTTTGCTCGCTATAAGGGCCGCTATTCATTTTGTCACATGTTATGGATAGGGGCCTTATGAATAATGATGAATAGCGGTCCTTATGAATAGCGAGCTTGACCCGTTGAAAGATGCAGTGACATATTATAACCCTTCTCATCACCCCTTGCTGGAGAGAATTTGACCTGAGCATTTCTTCCCTGAAATTCACAGCACTTGGTCTAAGCATCATGTTGTTAATATACACTGGTGAGAACCCTACTCAAAACATTGGTGATGTATAGAGTTATAGCCCCACTGCACTACTTATAGCTACTTGCGCCCTCTATAGAGCAAACAATGCTTAAGTGGTGACTGTTGGTCCCCTATGGTCCCCTATGGTCCCCTTTTTCTTATGTTAATTGAGAGCTGATTTGATGAGATAACCACCTGTCAGTGACCATGCAGGGAGGTCTAATCCCTCCTGGCCAAAATAGTGCAGATAGGCTTTAAAACACTGCTCAAAACTTACTGAAACAATCTCCTCCTTTTTGATGATAGGTGCCACGTTCCTGATGAAGATGGAGTAGGTCTTATGGAGCGCTCTGGGTTTGGGTTCATCCGGATCTTTTGTTTCTTCTTCTTCCCCTTCTTCCCCCTTTCTTTCTTCTTCTTCTTCTTCTCCTTCCTCTCCTTCTTCCTTTGCTTCTCCTTCCTCAAGCTTGTTATCACTCTCCAACGCTCCCTTATCAGCACCACTCTCTAAGCCTGGGTGGCAAAATGAGATCAGTGCAAAATATAGATTAATGATGAAGTTTCTTTACCTTTCCTTTGTACATTGGGTGGATTCAATTTTATGTGATTAAAAAACTAGATGGAATTTTGACTGCGGGCAGTCGAAAATGATGCCTCCGCCATAGAGCAATTTAAACAAGTTTGGAGTTTAAATCTCCAGTGGTTCTTGAGATATCATGATAACAATCTCAATGTATGGAATTTCATAAGTTGACCTCTGTGACTCTTGACCTTTGACCTACGTGCTCCAAAATCTAATCAGATTGTCTTCCTATGGTGATACACACTATCATTAAGTTTGAAGTTTAAATCTCCAGTGGTTCTTGAGATATTATGATATGGTGATCCATACTATCATTAAGTTTGAAGTGAAAATTCTCCAGTGGTTCTTGAGATATCGCGATAACGATCTCAATGTATGGAATTTCATAAGTTGACCTCTGTGATCCTTGACCTTTGACCTACGTGCTCCAAAATCTAATCAGATTGTCTTCCTATGGTGATACACACTATCATTAAGTTTGAAGTTTAAATCTCCAGTGGTTCTTGAGATATTATGATAACAATCTCAATGTATGGAATTTCATAAGTTGACCTCTGTGACCCTTGACCTTTGACCTACGTGCTCCAAAATGTAATCAGATTGTTTTCCTATAGTGATACACACTATCACTAAGTTTGAAGTTTAAATCTCCAGTGGTTCTTGAGATATGATAACAATCTCAATGTATGGAATTTCATAAGTTGACCTCTGTGACCCTTGACCTTTGACATACGTGCTCCAAAATCTAATCAGATCGTCTTCCTATGGTGATACATACTATCCTTAAGTTTGAAGTTTAAATCTCAAATGGTTCTTGAGATATCGCGCTAACAAACTCAATACAAGGAATTTCATAAGTTGACCTCTGTGACCTGTGACCTTTGACCTACGTACTCCAAATCTGATCAGATCGTCTTCCTATGGTGATAAATACTATTCCCGAGTCTTAAGTTTAAATCTTAAATGGTTCTTGAGATATTGTGATAACGGTCAAACGGGACGGACGTACGGACGGACGTACGGACGGACAACCCGAAAACATGATGCCTCCGGCACCACCTTCAGTGGCGGAGGCATAAAAAAGTGCTTAATGAATAACTAAACCTAACCTAAAAGCATTTCATCCAAATGACTTCAAAACCAGATTTGCAAGTCTCCCTAATTATTAACATTATGTTTAAATTGTTCCAGATTTACAACTTAATAGTTCTTCAAATATAACCTATAACTTTTATGAAATTGAACTTGATTAAACATGACCTACATGTAACATCAAGCTTACAGAGTCACTGACCCATTCATTGTACATTCCACATTCCTCCTTGTTTACAAATTTGAGCCAAGAAATTACTTCCTGAGTTCATGTAGATTTCTTCATTCCAGAAATGTACATATCATCAAGCTTGCTTTCATTACACATACTCCTAGAGTGAATTTCACACTGCTGGTATGTCTGGTGTAATGTACAAGCTGTCACTGAATTAGGATATAAGTTGAATGACCCAATTAATCAGTAGGCGACTTTAATTGGGTCAAGCTCGCTATCCATAAGGACACTATTCATAAGGACCATTATTCATAAGGACCGCTATCGATAAGGCGTAACAAAACAAATATCAATCCTTTATGAATAGCGGCCGTTATAAATAGCGAGCAAACCTTAGCCAATTTACCTCGCTATTCATAAGGACCGCCATTTACAAGGACCGCTATCCATAACGCGTGACTAAATGAATAGCGATGTTTTATTAATAGTGCTCCTTATAAATAGCGAGCAGACCCCCTTTAATCAGTATTTGATATCACTTTATACAGGAACAAAACTCCTTACCAGGAGGAGCTGGTTCTGGTTCAAGCATTCCCTGCTCATGGTCCGATTCTTCTGATTCAATGTCACTGCCTGAACTGCTACTGATATCACTCTCACTATCACTGTACCCTGGGCCATGCTGACGTTTGCGCTTCTTACCACGCTTTCTCTCCTTTCCTTGCCTGCCAGTCTCTCCATTCTAGTGATTGACAAAGATGACATTAATATTGCCAATTAAAGACGAGTTATGTACAGTCAAACCTGCTTTAGTGACCACCTGTCTACAAAGACCACCTGTCTTCAACAACCGCATGTTTTGTTTTCCTTGAAAATGGTTTCTCATTGAAACATGTACTAAAGGAACCTGTCTACAAAGACCACTTTTTGTGTTTCCCCTGGGCGGTCGTTGCAGACAGGTTTGACTGTATTAATTAATCTTTTGCAACTGATTGCTATGTACAATCAATCACTCAATGGTACAATCAATGAAATTGCTATGTGACAGACCATTTTCAAAGGTTAATTGTCTTGTACACAGGATTGAGTGCACATTGTGAAGTATTGGAATCATCCAAATTTCATTATTGGGGGGGGGGGGGGGTGGGTCAGATATGACAGTATTCATAGTGTACCTGGCAGATGGGTGCAAATGAATGCTAAGACACTGATGTGCATTTTTGGAAAAGTTTTGACTGTATTTGACATTACATTTCGGCAGCACATAGAAATATGTATGTCATACAAATTGTAGACAATGATATCATTACCTCAGCAATAAAAAATTATTTACCCTCCCACCCCCCCAAAAAACATGTTTTCTAACTTTTCTATCTCACCTTTTCTACCTCTTCATCTTCCTTCTTCTCATCATCCTGGGCTGGAGGAGGGGGATTGGGTCTGGCAGGGATAATTTGCTGTCATCCTATGAAAATAAAAGATAAATGTAAGACAAATTGCATAAAACATACACAACAAAATGACTTAATTTCTACTTCCTTCAGCTACTGAAAGCATCAGAATATAGTATTTTTCAGCAAACATATTTAACAATATTAATAAATGATGTTTTTCAATCCATTTCAATTCCAAAATCAGGAAATAAAGATGGCAGTATATACATTGGTCTTAAATCTACTCTGTTGATTTGGCGTGGTTTTGGTGTGGTGTGGCATGGTTTTCCTTCCTTCCTTCACACTGATGTTCTATCCTTTTCACCATTTTCAATGTGTAATACTAGAATATGAGAATATTTCTATTTAGTCTACCTTTTATTTTGATGGTCCTTTTATGATTATAAACACAACGATATAATTTCTCATACATATATATTATGTATTTTTACAATGTGTGACCAAACAAACTTCCATGAATTCTTATGAATTTGGATGAATAAAAGAATTTAATTGAATTGAATTGATAAATATTTTTTTTTAAACTACATATTCTACTACACCAAAATTGTTCTGTAAAGTACGGTAAGTATCCCTCTTCTTGGAAAGTAAATTTTTCTTTAATTGCTTACATCTTTAGGAGGGGGTGGAACAGGTTCATCATCTCCTTTTCCATCTTCTTTCTCTACAATCTCTCCATCTCCTTCCATCTCCTTTTTCTTGACATCATCATCATCATCCCTTTCTTCACCTTCTTCGCCTTCTTCTTTCTTGTCATCTTGATGTCTGAAACGAAGAAGATTAAAATGAATATTATAATATTATAATGCTAATATTTTTACTCTTTCTACCGATTGTTACACTGCAATCATTCATAAACTAAATTAATATAGACTTGTCTTCCCTACATAAGATGGCACTGGAGAGAAAAGAAATTACCAAATGATACATTTCTGTGGATTATCTTTTCTTAATGACTGAAAAGTTCGTTTTTACCTCTTTCAAATAACACACAAAACAATGATTATTAAATCTTGCCCGACCAACTTAAGACAGTCTGAAACACTGTCAGCTATTCCATCTATCATTCCTAACTACCCTGCTTTACAATACAGCACTCTATAGCGCATCTTGTATTCACTGACATACAATTGTAGAATAAGAATAAACTTTGTTGCTTGTCTCTGAATTGGAATTTCTTATACTTACTTGTCATCTCCTTTATTGCTTCGTTGAGACTCTGACATGGTTCGGTCTCTCTCATAGGACCTGACTGGCTCTGGTTGGTCTAGGATGGTTAGGTCTAGATCGTTGCCTCCTTCCAATCTTATCACAACTGAAAGTAAAAGGACAAAATGCATTGAGTTTTCTATGCCCTATTTATAGTGAGTTGGATCTATGAAAACATTGAACAAATTCTCACTTAACTCCATAAGGTTTTTGTCGGACTTGGGGAGAATGAATATCCAAATTTTCAAAAAGAATTATATCATGAATGAATGGCCTCAGAACTCTGGATAAGAAAAGAACTGTCAAGCCTTCTGGTACTGTTAAATAATCTGTTACACAGCATCAAAGTACAGAAAATAGCAAAAGTAAGGTCCTGCAACAATGCCAATTACTTTTCATTTTGATTATACAGAAATATTTTGCATGACCAAGTCATAAGATTCCAAGTGTTGAAGCTGCTAATGCTATTTCTTCTGCTACTACTATCAAACCTGTGAAGGTGAAATACTAAATATGGTTCTGGTTCTGGTTCTGGTGGGCTACTGCATAAACTCCTCAGCTGGGATGTAACTGCTGATGCTAATGCTACTGCCATCCCTGCTACCATATCTACCATCGCTGCTACATCTTTCCAAGTACTTGTCTATTGTATTAAGACCACAAGCATGTTGAAGTACACATACAGTTAGCAAAGTGAAAGTTTCTCTTACCTGCATCCAAAAGATGAGTGACTCCCTCCGACTTATCAGCCTGCAGGATAACCTTGTTGACCTCATTCCTGTCCAGCATCTCCAGAAAGACTCTGAGACGACGGTCAATTCCTTCTTCGGTCTCATCCTGCTCCCGTTCACAATCGTCTGGGTAGTACTTGGCGCGGAACCTGCGTGGTAGAAAAATAAGGAATCAAAAGCATTTCAAAAGGGTGTATTACCAACTAGACACATTTGTGTTTTTTTGTTTATATTTTGGTTAGGGCAGTATTGTATTTATTACCAAGTCACGTCTACCGTTTTTGAAAATATCTTGGATAAATGATAAAATAACTGAAATGCCGACATTTAAGGAAATAGAAAGTTGTGACCTACTACATACAACATAAAATTCAAGATTTGATAATGTTTTTCCAAGTGAATTTTTTAGCCAGATAAAAACATAAATCACTCTTGTAAGTGCTGATAATGCCTTGCCGTAGGAGTTCAAGAGAAGCATATCCTAGACTTTTGAAATCCATAAATACAACTCTGAAAACACCTCAAGCTCAAAAGAAGTCACTTGAAAACATACACGAAAGGAACAATGGAGAAATTATATTGAATAGTTTAAAGATAAAGAAAATTTGCCTCATCAAACTAACCCTATGGTAGAAGTTAATTTTTTTAACAAACAGACAATTTGCATAGAGGTCTTTATGAAATAGACATATTGGATAAAGGTCCATTAAAGGTACTATGTCCCATTTGCAGGCTAAAAATTCCAATTTCTCTCAAAACGAAAGGGCTTAAAAAATGTCTTTAAGTGGGAAAATAACGACCCCTAGTTGTCGAATCGACTTAGGTGATTGCAATCGCTAAAGTAATAGTCTGATTTTCAAACCCTTGTACTGAATGGTCGTATTATTTGTGCTGCTTAAAGATTCAATCACTTTAACTTTGGCCATTACAAGAATCGGGTCAATGATGTAGACAAATGCTCATGTACCCTTTACAGAAAGTAAACAGGTTTCCTTGCATAATTTGAATATTAGGACACTGCTAACGTTTAAATTTCACAGATAGGACATACGTGACATGTTCCTAATTCTTGCAACGTTCTACAGAATTTGATGTTGGCTGGGCTGCAAATGGGACTTAGTACCTTTAAGAAATAGGTCATCAGTCAAGGATTTATAATACTGAACTAGAATGTACATCGTCATCGCACAGTGATAGCCTGTTGCTACCCCATAATAGCATTGCTTGCTTGGTGAGAATAATGTCCCCTGCGTATTAAGCTCTTATTCCCAAAGGATTAAAATCCCCTCTTCCTTCAAGTTCACTTTGCAGCTTAAACTAAACCATTTTGATGATGATCAAACCTTGTGCTTTCATTCATCTGCCAGCTTCCCCATCTCTGGCAAATCCACAGCCCATTACATGACTGAGAGAATGTTACGAGGATTTTCTGAAATTAAAAGAAAACACACCACCAGCTCGCCTGAGTTCAACGAACTCTCTCCCCATCGCTGGTCGTCTGGTCGTTTTCTCATGCTCAAGGTGAACAAACTACGACGTTAGAATCGCGGACGAATATAACATACAAGTGACGTCGCTGATATAAAACACCAATGGTGTCGCACAGCTATGTCGATGGTGATTAAACAATCGTAACCGAAACCATAACGAGGTGTGATTCTATGCAACTACGTAGGGGTAGTACGCGTATAGTAGTAGAAGTAGGGGTAGTACGCGTATTGTAGTAGTAGTAGTAGCCACGCTCCACTGCATTGTTTCACAGTGGTGGCTCATAGCGGATAAATAGAAAGCATAAGACGTGGGTCGTACATGGAGCAATTTTTAAAATCGGATCCAGATGAAGAAATGGTTCTTCAAATTTTTTGCTGTGGAGTATGAAGGTTAGACATAATCAATTTTGAATTTTGATTTCTATCAAAATGAATTTAAAAAAAATATTTTTCAAAATAACAAAGGTAATTTGAGACTGAATTATTGATGAGCAAATAAAGAAAACAAAACGATGAAGAATTTTTTGTTGCTTGTTCCAATCAAATATAATTTTCATTGCTACAAATTCATATAAAAAGTAGAACAAATTAAATGAACTGGGACTTTCTTTTTCTCATGATGATCTACATTATAATCTATATGTAGTCATCCTATAAATCATGCAAACTTACATGAAGCTTTCTTTCAATTAACAATTTTCATTCTTTTAATTGTACTAGTACCAAGTAACAAATAATATATAAAATGTTTTTGTGGTTGAATTCATAAATGGAGTCCCCCTTGTAACTTAAAAGCTTACAGACGCGTCTTGCTACATCACACATGCAACAATCTCAGTACAATTCCTTGATCTCAAAACACAACACTGATGCACATACAAGGGGCCCGCATTCATTCACAATGCAACCAATACAGTCATGCCTGGTTGTAACATCTCAAAACATGAAACAGATTTCTGTGTTTGATTCACCAACAACGTGCATGTTCTCTACTTGTCTGTTTTTCATTAACCTGTTCAAAATGATTTGATTTTGATATAACAAAGGTTTATATCAAACCGTATCCAAGTTAAGATGGGCTAGCTATTCAAGGTCGAATACATTCCTTCACACATCTTCCCTAAAAATGCACACACTCTACACATGTTCCACACATCATAACCAGACACTGAATTGTATACATGGGACTATACTAACACATGGCGTGTGCATCCAACAGATGCACTCACCATACATGTTTCATGCATTCTTTTAAATTCTAATCCTACTTATACACACTTCATACATGTTTCACGCTTTATAACCAGACACCGATTTCTATACTTGGAATACAATCATTCACATCGCACCAAGTCACTCACAGTACTAGAGCTCATTACATTACACCATCATCAACGATTAGCCACTACTCACCATTCTTCGTCCTTATGAGCCAAGAAGAACTCGCTGAGTTGGGCCTTGTGGAACTCAAGCTTGTAAGCGTTGTATTTCTTCACGGCCTCCTGGTCGTCGATAGAGTCTTCTTGCTTGGCCAAGAACTGCTTGAAGCTGAGCATCTGACTGGAACCACTCTCGCCACGACCACCGGACTCTCCTTCTGTGCCATGGCTACTACACACACCGAACAAAATATGAGTAAACAAATAAATAAGTTAAAGGTAAAATACACAAAATTGGTCTGCTTATCGTACAGTAAAAACCCTGTGGCTTGGCAAATACTGGTTAACGCCATCTACGTCTTCTTTTGGACAACTGCACATAAACGAATGAACTTGATTAACGGTAGTCAGCAACTTAATCTCTACATGGTCAGCGTGCGGGAAACACACTGAAGTTCTCCTCATGCTTCGGATCCACGTATGTTGCACACACGTAATTGCTGTGTTCGGGTCGTCCGTAGTCATATTATACCCGATTGGCCCTCCGAGTCTGGCCATGGGAAAGACACGTAGTCTCATCAGTCTACACTCCCTTTAAGTTCATTGGGTCATGAGTAGTTTTAATTACATGGGTACAAACCTTTTAAGAAAATATCAAATTTTGACATATTTTTGGTAAAATTGCTGGAGTCTCCATGCATCACACTGGCCCTAAAATGGCAATATAAATCCTCAATTCATTTTTCTGGCAGTCAAGTAGTCAACATAAACTTCCTAACACATTAGCAGTACTACAATCACACTTATTTATCTACAGATATGAATGACCAAAATTAAAAATCAAAATAGAAAAAAAAAAATTACTGAAAGTCAAAGATAATTGATTGGTATTGTATACATTATCAATCCAGCTAATATTTTTGGAAGGCAAAAAGACATAATAATAATATGAATAATAATAGGCATTTCTATAGCGCCTAGAAATTCTATTCTGAGGCGCATTCATTAATACCCCGGCTTTATCTTAGCTGCCAGTACAGCGCTCCAGCATTTCAAGGAATTAATTCCTGCCATACCATCCATGGCCTTACCTGTGACCTTGGCCCTGATATTGACCTCCTCTACCACCTCTCATCCCTCCTCCACCTCCTCCACCATGGTACCCTCCGTATCCTTGGTTACTATGGCCACCTTCATATCCGTAACTACCTCCATCCCTAAAGAGAGAAACAGCACAGTTTATGTTTGTAAATAAAGCTAATGTATTCTTTGCACATGTACAGTTGTCACAGGGAAAAAAAATTAACTGGGGCTCAGGGCGAATTCGCCCCAGAAAGTCATAAAAGAGCCCCCAGGCCCCCAGAAATGTGCATAGAGTTCAATGCAAAACAAATTAAAGTGTTATTTTCATGCAAGCTTGAATAGTAGCCCCCCCCCCCCCCCCCCCAAATTTTTTTAATAATTTTTTCCCTGGGTTGTCATCAAACAGTTCAAAGTCGGGCAGTGTTGACTAGATTTCTGACTTCAAGGCTGATCGAATGCATTATTAAAGCCATTATATTGAATGTATTTTTTTCTTCTAAAGTCAAGCAGCAAAATCACATCTTTAAACTAAAAAAAGAAATCATTTGAAAAAGTTCTGGTGAAAGAATTTAAAGTCCGTCTGTACTAGTTTGGCCAGGAAGGGGGGGGGGGGTTAGACCTTCCTGCAAGGTCATTGAAAGGTGGTTATCTCATCAAATTAGCTCTCGATTAACATAAGAATGAAAACAGGCACCGATTAGGCATTGTTTGCTATATAGAGGGCGCAAGTAGCTATAAGTAGTGAGGTGGGGCTTTAAGATTCCACAATAATAACCTGCAGATTATCAAATTCACAATTTCATTGTTATTTGGTGCTAGAAGCATCATATATATTTCACTTTCTGACATCCCAGGTAGGTTTTTATAAAACTCCTACGAGATATCATGATGTAGAATTCTGCTGTCAATAAAGAAAAGCAATGTCGACAATGCACCAAAAGACAGCACAGACACCTTTAAAGCTCCACTGCACTAGTTATAGCTACTTGTGGCCTCTATATAGCAAACAATGCCTTATCGGTGCCTGTTGGTCCCCATGATCCCCTTTTTCTTACGTTAATTGAGAGCTGATTTGATGAGATAACCACCTGTCAGTGACCCTGCAGGGAGGTCTAATCCCCCTGGCCAAACTAGTACAGATGGGCTTTAAATGAAGAGCTTCTTGCAATGACTTACCAGTCTCGTCTCTGCCTCTTGGCTGGGGGGCTCATGTCCTGCCGTCTGTTGGGTGGGCTGTACCGGTCCTGTCGCCCTCTGTCGTAGTCCGGGAAGTCCCTGCGATTCCACTCATTCCTAAAGTTGCGACTGCTTGCATAAAGATAAAGGAAATCATAATAATAATAATAATAATAATAGGCATTTCTATAGCACCGTCAATCTAGATAATTCTATTCCGAGGCGCATTTATTACTACCCTGACTTTAGCCTAGCTGCCGTTTATATGATGCGACAAGCAGAGGAGATCCCTGGACTATGTTCTCAGCTCAATTACACAACTTACAGGATATGTATGCATCATTTCAGAGTACTATGGGTCAAGAGGTTACAGTCTTTGCTACTGGGTCAAAACCAAGTGACTTTCACACAAACTTTATCATTTCAAAATATGGCCCTAGCAAATCTGTACTGAAGACTTTTCTTGAAGGTCTAAAAATGAACATAGTATTATTGAAAAATTTCTGATTCTGTAAAAGACTTGAAAAGTTCTACTTTCTAACTTGTCAAATATGGCAATCTTCAAGTCTTAATATTGTATTTCTTAAACAATAACATACCCAAAGACGTTAGTTCCACCAAGTTGTTAAACACAAACATGTGAACATCAATAAAGGGTGAGCTGTTTGCTCTTTGTTCTAGCACACTATTTTACTCACTTTCTGTTTCTCATCTGAGTAGGAGACATCCTACCCACTTGGCCTCGCCTATGGAAGAGAAGAGAAGAGAATTTATCAAAGGTACAATTCCTTATTTGCCTTGCAAATACATCTACAAATCTTGACATTTTCAGTTTTGCAAGGATAAATAATAAATATTGAACAATTTTACGAAGGGAAACAAGTTCTTTAGATGTAGTTCACGAAAGACCAAAACATATTTCAAGGAATGTACATGTATCAATTCGCATCCTTCTGCCAAACACCTAGCAAATTTAGCACCCCTGGGTGGCTACAAGGAGACCACACACACCAATATGCAGACAGCAAGTAAGCAGGGTTCCACACTAATGTTTAAGTAACAGGGAGTGCGGTTAAGGTTTCCCAAAGTTGGGAGCTCCTGCTCCTATAGGACTCTGAATTATTGTTTCATCAACTAAAATTGATTTTAGAATTCAATTTTAGGCCCTTAAAATTGATCAGATCAATTTTAAGGATCGACGATTGAAACTCTCCCCAGGAAAATCTAAATTTCTAGATTCCTATTTAACACCTACAATATGAATTTATTCCTTGAATTAATTTCATTGTTTTCAAAGTATATTTTGAAAAATATTTTGATAGTGAAAAATGTTTTTTTGTTTATGTTGCTGCAGGTGAAAAAATAAGATTACATAAATAGATTCAATGTTACAGAAATTCTTGGAAATATTAGTATTGACTTAAACACCGACTATTAAACGCTAAATTCATATAGTCTCATTTAAATGTCAATCCGCCTTGAAGGTTTCAGAATTTTTAATTACTGTCAGCCAAGATCTTTAATTTTCCCTCGTAGACTATGTACATTTGTCGCCACATACTGCACTTTGGGGATATATCATCAAGAAATACACGGACAAAATGAATAATAACAATCAAAGTTTAGAAGTAAAATTTCATGACTAATTAAAATTCTTTCTCACAATTACATTTTAAACTTCAAATTTGTTTTTTGAAAAACAAGACCTTCAAAAGAAAATTTTCAAACTTTTTAATATGATAGAAAAAGCCAGTTTGGGGTAAATATTGAACTGAACATGGATAAAGATGGAAATAAATTTCAAAGATGCTTAATCATTATATATTCATCTTTTCTTTTGAATCTGATTTGTTGTTGCTCTTTCCAATTAATTATTTTCTCACTTAAATTTACTTCCTCAAATTATACTAAAACTACTAAAATATGTGTTTAAAGTAATCCTTACCGATCTTGCCAATCATCTCGTCTTCTGTCATCTCTTTCTCGTCTGTCATTATAGTCTCTACGCTCACCACGGAACTTGTCACGACGCTGCCTGCGGCGATCAAACTCTTCATCGCTGTCCATCTTCTTTTTTTTTATTGTACACTGCTATGGCTAATCATAGATCAATTAAAAAACAAAACAAGGTCTATTACCACAGTAGAACAAGATTCAAGAGCAGTATTCTTCATGCACTTATGGAATAAGCCAGTACAAATTCTAATCTTCTCACAATATTTACTCAGCTCAGAGTCAGACTCATCAAAACAGGCAACAGCACACTCGTCTCAGGTAGGGTGTCTGAACGATTTTTCAATTTTCAATTTGGGATCGTTTTTCACCATTTTTGTTTGATATTTGAATTAAAAATGTAATCAGAATAATACATTTCAAATTTCAAGTCTCGCCGATGTTTCTATCAAAAGATACAGCCCCTTCAAAATGCTGAAATATTCATAGCATTTTGCTCAGAATCGACGAAAAAGACGTACACGCAGAGTTATGTTGTTTTGCTAAATTTAGCCAAACAGCTGTATCGCGCGATATGCAAGCGTATGCATATCGTACGCAAGTTGCTCAGCCAATGCGCGACTTGCAAGCTTGAGCCACGCTGTCTCCGCGATATGTGCCATTGACTAGTATGGGTGGCCGTTCCCTCTATAGAACCCGGAAGTGAATACACGTTGTAGTCAATGGCAATATCGCGGAGACAATCTCCGCGATATTGCCATTGACTACAACGTGTATTCACTTCCGGGTTCTATGGCGAGAATCGGCCACCCATACTTTCATTCACTATAAGCGCACATGTTACGATGTAACCATGGTTTAGACTGAGCGGAGCTCACGCCTCCCTAATTAGCTGATTCCAAAAATGTGGGAAGGGTATTTTCAAACTGTTATAACAAATGATCCCTTGGGGCTAGCGAAAAAAAAAGCATCTGGATATTATCGTTACGTCTAGCCCTGCTTAAGCCGCGGGGCGGCAGCTCAGGAAAGTGGCAAATTTTGGAGCTAGGACGCAAACAACATTTCAATCGCTGTTTTGACCAAGATATTTTTAGAATTCTGGGGGTGGCCCCCGATGGGGAATATGGAGAAAAACCTGCTCTTTCATATGACACCTCATTTATTGAGTTTCACCTTCAGGATCATTTGTTATAAAGGTTTGAATTTCAAATTTTTTCATAAAATCATTGACCAATTTTGGATGGTCGCGCAATGCACGTAGACCACATAGGGAAGCGTACAATCTCTATGGGAAGGGTTTTAGCACACAACATTGGGTGCGCGATCAGACACCCTATCTCAGGTTTATTATTGTCATTCACAACATTCTTTGATTCTTTCATTCAAGTTTTTCAACATTTACATATCATTCTCATACAATAGTACACACAAGATAGAGCAAACACATAAATGGGCTGTCCCCTGCAAATCTATTTCGTAATTTTCCTTATCGCGTTCAGCTATTTCCCAATTTCCTGCACTCCCAGACTAAACTCATTCCCTCCACCAGTGCACCATTGCATGCACTAAACAAACTCAATCACGATCAACATGCACAGCCACAGGGCAGGGCGGCAGAGGCTGAGCAATGCGACAATCAAGCTCTGCATTTTCGAGATAAACTGGCTTTAACTTAGATTTCAAGAACAGATCGTACCTTTTACTAAATCTACGAGTCACAATAAGCATTTTTCAAGAATATAATAACTTCAACTTCTCTGATATTCGATAATTTTATTAATTGATTTTTATATCACTCACCTCACGTTTGACAAGAAATGGACGCGCCGATTCCATTTAATCTTAGGCTTGGACATGTCGCCCTCTAGTGTCATGATAGATGGCGAAAGTCGGGTCATGTAAAACTAAACATTGATGACTACCCCTCTCATTTACTTACTTTGGGAGGGGAGGGGAAGAGGGAGGCAGGGGTGGTCTAAGAAAAGTCAGAGTGAATTGTGATTATTATTGTCAGGTAATCTGCTCTATGCTTTTACATATTTTCAGGCTTCATGCAGATATTCCCTAATTCCAAAATGGACAGACCAATAAATAATTAAATCTATACAATAATGAATATATATAATGTTGTTCTTCTTTTCATTTTTATACTATTTAAACTATCTTTATGGTAGGTGTTAAATTAGATAAAATAATGTGACATGTATACCTGAATGATATGATTCATGCCATCTCCCTCACTCCCTTTCCCATCCATTCTCCTCTCTCTCTTCCTAGCCATCCTTCTATCTCCCCATCTCTCTCTCTCTCTCTTCCTCCCTCCCTCCCTCCTTCCCCCTCTCTCTCTCTGTCTCTGTCTAGCCATCCTTCTATCCCCTCTCTTATACCCTTTTCTAACTGCACCGATTTTCATCGGATGCATCCGGACGCATCCGATGAAAGTGCCAGTTAGAAAGCAACAGAGGAGAAAAAGGCGATTAAATAGCCGATGAAAAGAAGAGAAATAGGCGATTAAATTCTCCTGCTCTAGAGCAGGAGAAATTCTCATTCTATCGGTGTGACACCGATGAAACGTGCAGTTAGAAAACGTTCGGGAGAATGGGCCATTAAAACAGCGATTAAAATGTTCAAAGGTCGCAGTATACGCACGCTTTACCGTAACCAGCTGTGTTTGTTGACTTATGGTTGAACAAGCTGCATGCTAGCTAGATGGAGCGCGAGCTTAATAATTACGTAATAATTCTTCACTTCCGGCAAGGGCTCGCCACAGCGAGTGAATTTCACCGGCAGTTAGAAACTGACAGGGGGAAAACTGCGGTTTCACCTTTGTTTACATAAGAAAAATTCAATCGGTATTTTCATCGGTGTGACTCCGATAGAGTGCATTTAGAAAAGGGTATTAGTCTATTTCTTCTGACCTCACTCGACTTTCTTCTAACTCAAATGACTAAACCACCACTGCAAGTTCTCGCACATAAATTGAGTTTGTCATTTATTACACTATATAACATTCATAACAATACAATGCACTGGTAACAGGCCAGTGACTTCCGTCAAATATAGTAAGGATCTAATAAACGACTCAATACAAATTCTCTTTTTAATACACAACTCTGCTTACTCTACGATAGGGAGCCGACACTGTACTCTCTATAACTCGCTAAGTAGTTTTGGCTTTGGAAAATCTCAAACATCAAAATACAAAATCACATTTCTTCTTATAGGTGAGATTGGTACAACCATTTACAATGTGCAATCTCTCAAAGACATTTAGAACTATTAGGACAGGGAATCTGCTACTCAACCCATCAGCCATTTACAATTCAAATGTACATCATGACATGGGGGAGGGAAGGGAGGGCGAGGGGACAAATGGGGAAGTATGGAAAATCCATATGCTCTGGCTCAATCACAAAAGATATCTCATACTTAATGTAAAAATACTGTGATACAAAATGGTTACATTCCTTGCTATATTTGGAGTACACAATGATAGTAAATTGATGGCAATATTCACTATCTTTCTGAATTTTCAGGGTATATGTAAATTTGCAAAAGGTTTATACGTTTAATGACAAGGAAATATAACACAATGCTTCTCTACGATTGAGTCATTGCTAGCTTTTACTACAGAGCAAATTAGTCTATAACACATGAATGTAGCTTTAAAAGAGCAAATCAATGCAGAAAAATGGAGTTCATGAAGAACAAATCATTACACAGTGCATCACAAAATAACATTTCTACTGAATCAAGTATTAAACATTGAGCTGCTAATAATATGCTGAGATGAATATCAAGAGATATGAACTAGAAACCTTGCACACGGGATGACCTGCATACTGGATTGCAGGGAAAAGATGATATAGCTTACTGATTCTCTGTGCTGCAATTGCAAATTTGTACCAGTAATATAATCAAATATCACATAAAGTGCCTTTATATCATATCTGAATATGGAGTAAACATTATCAACATTATATATATATGAGGGAAGGAAGTATGATCAGCTAAAATTGTCCAATATTCCGTTTGAAATTGATAACAAATTGCTCAATATATCTTAATAAAAATAAATTGATGATATGACATTATGATTGGTTTATTACTATAGTGCATATTAAAGTTTCAAATATTTTTTGCAGAGAGATAATACTACCTCGGAATAATGTAAAGCTTGGATATCATAGACTACATGAATATCATCTGTTGAGGGCTAGAGAGACATTAAGTGTATGCCCAAGAATATACTAGGTTAATGACCTTTTGGCTTTAGGCGGCTTATATTATCCGTTCAGATGAAGAAGGGTCTTCACATCACTAATTTAACATAGAGTTAACGCCCTTCTGGCGCTAAATAAACAATATCACCTCTTATCATCTGTTCAGAGTAAGTTTTTGCAATAAATATTAATCTAAGATGATAAATGCTTTATATGAACTTGATCCTTATAAGTGTTCCTTTTATATACTCTACATGTTATAAATTTGTTAAATTGTATTACATTCATGTTGGAAGAAAGAAAAATAAAATTGAACTTAAAATTCTATATACAGAGAAGACTTTTTTTTTTCTCTGTAGAAATTAATTATTCATAGCTTAAAGCCTGGACAATATATTTATAATCAAAGGGTAAATCAGCACAAGAAAATAAAATTGCACATTATATATAAATCATATGGCTAAGATAAATGACACCCTATGGTCTTTAAGCATGACAAAAAATACAAATAACTTAACAATACTAAACATGTAAATACTAATAACACTTCATATAAGGACCTGGATTATCATCACCAAAATGAACATATCCACTTAACTGTATCAGTAAATCTATGAGAATCACAATCAATTACAGACTGGAGTTTGATTATCATTTACATTAATTAATACACTTCAATTCATATCAGGTACTTGCCAAAAAAAGTTAACGATGATAGCAAATCTACAAACAGAACCATTCTATTTTGTTTTTCTACATCAACAAATGTCAAGCTACCATTCTGTAAAAACTGAGAGTTTGGGTACAAAACTGTTCTTCTTATCAAACTGGTGGTAATATTTGTGATTTGTGTCTCCGCTACATGTCTCTCACCAACACTGGCATAATATTTATTTTATATTAATAAATGAAAATAGCTTTAATCAACAACATTCTAAATTAGAAAGCCTGGAGTACTAAATAGCCAGCTAGCATATTATGTTGGCTTGCATTTACTGCTAATAATTAAGTGTACTTTCAAACCTTGATGTTCAATTGTGCAAATTTTCAACAAAACAACAGTTCTCAAATCCACAGCACTACACTTTATGTTCAAGGGCCTAGGAACGCTGCTTTAAATAGCATTCTACCTTGTGCTCATTGAGATATGAGTCAAGCTTTCATAATGAATTCCCATGAGACTAGCAATATAATTTTTTCCTGAGTTACAACAATTGATGCAAATTTGTTACTATAAATCTAAATTTGCCCTGATGATCTAGACATAAGACTAGAAGTTTGAACTGGGATCGATTCATCTATTGTAGGTTCTTTATTTAGTTGGTCCCATTCGGTGACGCCCTAAAACTTTAACATCTTAAATTATCTGTCGGATGCCAAAATGGCAATCACTCTGTGTTCATATGGGTGAGTGATTGCCCTTCTGGCTCTCAGCACAAGAATAAATGTGTTTCCATCTCTCATGAAACTGCTATCATACAGTCACTTAAAGCTCATCATCATGGGGTACTTCTACACTCACAACCTTTACAAATAGGGAGAAACTGACGAGATGGACTTACTGCTTTCTGTACAAGGGGCTTTTCATCACAACTCATTAATGATGTTTATGGGAAGGTTTTAGGTCCTTTTTACAAGTTTCCAATAATCTAGGAATGTTTGGTATATACAGTTTTCTGTCGCAGATCTCCCATCGATAACGTAGACAGGATGAATGCTGATATCCGACTTTGCAATAGATGTAGCTGTCTGGCTTACACATTTCAATTTTATGTTAATATAATACTCCTTTGCTGTATGACAGATTTTCCGTGTTCATATTGAAAACAAAAAAGTCAGGTACACGTCTCAAGAAGATGTCACACGGCTTAAAGTCTGGCAAGTGAACTGCAAAATGCCCCACACGAGGGCACTCTCTTAATCGAGTCAGACCACCACTGCAAAGGAAAAATGTTCCCCAATCTTAGAGGAGAGTCAACCTGCCCCATGCAGGGTGAACACCCAAAGAAATTGGCACCAGTCTGTTGCAGTGCTATCAAAAATGTTCCCCAATCTTAGAGGAGAGTCAACCTGCCCCATGCAGGGTGAACACCCAAAGAAATTGGCACCAGTCTGTTGCAGTGCTAAGCTTAGAGTGCATGGCAGTGGCTGATTACATGTAGAAGCCAAACGCTTCCATGTCGGCAATGATGAAGTCTTCTTTGGATGAGAGCGTCTCATTTCCAAACGTCTTGGTCGGGTGACTGCGACCATGGTAGAGGTCACCATCCAACCATAATCCAAAGTCACCCCTAAGATAAAGAACAAAAAAAATACAGAATAATTTTAACGATTAGGCAAAGATAACACACACATTTGCAGGTGGCTTCCTTTCATGATTAAAGGCATCGTTTAACAATGTTAAATCTGAGATGCATGGCCCTAGGTGTTATAAGTGTCTGTGATTTGGTGTAATATTGAACAAAGTTACCCGATCCCTTTAATATGTTGTCAGCTTAGTCAATCAAACCCTTTTCTAATATGTTTATTTTACTTCAGTTCATTTCAGATCAGTAATGTATCTATGGTAGACAAAGCATAAACTTAAACTACATTGTTTTTGCTTTGAAGAAACCCAATATCTTCATGTTCTAAATTACACAACCTCATGATACTGGGACAGCAAAATCATCTCTATGATCTGTGATGCATGGTCCTAGTGTTATCAGTGTCTGTGATATGGTGTAATATTGAAGCCTTAAAAAAATTGCGCTTCAAAACGATCAAGAAGTGCCTCCAAAAAGTAAAAATCTTTGAGTGACCGGTTTTACCATACCCGTTTTCCCCAATAGACTGTAGTGTTATGAAAACCGTAAGGAAAACACAAAATTTGGTTTAGATTTCTAATCATAAATATCTTGATAATCAGACAGGCAATCGGCTTGTAAAAGTCATGGGGTTCCTAACTGACCTAAAGGTTTATAATTATCATTGCAGCATGAGCTAAATATAGGATTTTGTTTCAGAATCTGAGACAAAGTTACCAGATCCCTTTAAACCACATCAAAGCAGACTGGTGCTTGATACTTACTCTCCTCCACCAATACACACACAGTCTAGGTCCCCCTTCATGAAGAAGTTGTTTTCACCAGTCCACCTGAACATCTCCAGCTCCTCGTCTTTGAACTTGTAGAGGAAGCTCTCACCGGTGCCGTAGTAATGATCACTGACCTTCAGAGCACATGAGGTCAAAGCACCAAACACCTGGAGGTCAAAGGGCAAGGGGTAATACTTAAATGAATAATGACTTTCCCATGCACATTATGTAACGAAAGAAAAGGCTGTGTCATCATTTCATCAAGCTGTATATCAACACTGCCTACAGGGAACTAGAGAAGTGTTTGAATAGACTAGTGGTCATTATATACAGATAAGGTTCACTTTTTGAAGTAAATAACAATAATAATATTCAGCTTTTATATAGCGCTTTACAGATAAACTATTACCCCAGTCATTGGATTCAGTGCTTGCCCGCACACACTGTGTGCACAATCTCCACTCCCTGGGGAGCATTCCAACCAGGCATGACTTGACGCTAAAAAACTGTTTGACCAACAGTGCCGGTCGCATCCTACCGGGTACCCATTTTAACACCTGGGTGGAGAGTAGCAAGTGTAGGTTAATATCTTGTCAAAGGATATTAGTGCCGTGTCGGGATTCGAACCCTTGACCTTGGCATCTCCAGTCAAGCGCCTTAAACCACTCAACCACCTGTGCCAAACATGCCCAACCTCACCCACTTGGTTACCCTCTAACCCCATTACAACCGCCACCAAGGGGGTACTTACGTGTCCTTCAGAGTCCCTGAGTATAAGGAGTATAGGGCTCTCCCAGGTGGCCATGTTACGGAAGAGACTATTCTAACCCCCTCCCCCCCCCTCCCCCCTTCCCCCCCCCCCTCCCCCCCTCCCCACCCACCCCCAATCCTCCACCCTGGTACTACCACCACCAGGGGGTACTTACGTGTCCCTCAGAGTCTCTGAGTATAAGGACCATGGGGCTGTCCCAGTTGGCCACATTACGATATTCTAACCCCCTCCCCCCAACCTCCACCCCTGTACTACCACCACCAAGGGGGTACTTACGTGTCCCTCAGAGTCCCTGAGTATAAGGAGTATAGGGCTCTCTCAGGTGGCCATGTTACGGAAGAGACTATTCTAACCCCCTCCCCCCCCCTCCCCCCCCCCCTCCCCCCCCCCCCCCCACCCACCCCCAATCCTCCACCCTGGTACTACCACCACCAGGGGGTACTTACGTGTCCCTCAGAGTCCCTGAGTATAAGGACCATGGGGCTGTCCCAGTTGGCCACATTACGATATTCTAACCCCCTCCCCCCAACCTCCACCCCTGTACTACCACCACCAAGGGGGTACTTACGTGTCCCTCAGAGTCCCTGAGTATAAGGAGTATAGGGCTCTCTCAGGTGGCCATGTTACGGAAGAGACTATTCTAACCCCCTCCCCCCCCCCCTCCCCCCCCCTCCCCCCCCCACCCACCCCCAATCCTCCACCCTGGTACTACCACCACCAGGGGGTACTTACGTGTCCCTCAGAGTCCCTGAGTATAAGGACCATGGGGCTGTCCCAGTTGGCCACATTACGATATTCTAACCCCCTCCCCCCAACCTCCACCCCTGTACTACCACCACCAAGGGGGTACTTACGTGTCCCTCAGAGTCCCTGAGTATAAGGAGTATAGGGCTCTCCCAGGTGGCCATGTTACGGTAGAGACTGTGTAGACTGTAACCATGGATTGCTGTACTGAAGACAAGCACCCAGCTGTAACCCTCAGTCCTGGGAGGAAGGTTCTTGGAAAGCTGCAAAGAGATTGGATGACGAAAGACACGATTATCATCAGTTACATTTTTAGGGTAGATTTACATACTACACCAATCCTTGGCAAGGTAACATGTAAAAACAAATAACTTTTTCTTCTCACTCTCTTCACCCCTTCCCTATACACACCCCATACAGAACCCGATATCTCCACAAATCGCGCAGTCCCCCAAATTCACACCTGTGGAAGAACGAAAGGACCGTCTCCATTTTAATGTTTAGGGTGTATACTTTCTGAATGGATACAAAAACAGTCCAGACAGTAAACTAGTCAACAGGGTAAATTTGAGTTTGTCTCCTATCTCATATAAGTTTTCATTTCAAAGAGTACCCATTAAGCCATTTCATGTTTGAAAAAAATTAGAAAAGATATCTTCCAAACGAATAAGGTAGAAAAGGTACAATTGCTGAGTAATGAATAATGAGAGAGAAAGAAACCGGGATAGTGGTCCGGGAAAATGAATAATATGAGGTCTCCTACCGAGTATGTCCGAATGAGAGCTGTGAATTTCAGATGATATGATGTCCAATCATTTTTTTTAAATTTCAATTCATTCGGATCTTTATGGTCCAAGCAGCCTATCCAATGCATTATCTACAATTATTTATTGCCCTTTGCTACTTTTCCCCACACATAGAATCATTACCATAACTCAAACTTGGTTTTATGAGGAAGTACACTTTTTCTATAACTGTTATCTAAATCATCTTCTTGCTCATAACACTGTGCTCTGTAATCACAAGGTTAAAAGAAAAATGTCTCACCTTTCTAACATGATCATTGCTAAGTAGATTGCTCTCCCCAACCAGCTCAGGTAACGGCAGGTTCATCTCGCACTCCAAGATGGTCATACGACGTTTGCTCGCCTCTTCACGGCTAATAATCTGAAATCATATATTAAACATACCATTTCAATTTGAATCGATCAAAGGACTACATGATAATTGTTTAAGTGGACAAAATACTTTGATTTAAAGTGGTGTGATACTGAAAAGACACTTTGTTAATCAATCTATGGGGATACTTGATATATAATGACAAGCGATGATATTTACATTGTAAAGCACACTGAAATATTTACAGAATGAGCTACATAAATGAAAATATGATCCATCATTGTCACCGTACAGCATGAAATAAGTCAAGTATGTGCTAAAGATAGGAACATATTCATGTACATATGTGTACATTCATATCAAGAGGATTCAACTCCTATGTGAATAATTTAATCTGGCACGATTCCAATTAAAATACTTCTTCTATCTCCCCCCAGGGAACTCCCTCACAAAATCACGTACTGGCAAGAACATTGTAACATTATACAGCCGTACCTGAAAATAAACATGTGGGGCTGAAATAAGCTTGGCATCAAACATAACTGTCAAGCTAGCATGAAAGCTGTATATATATCACTGCCAATGTATGCTCCTTTTACGGTCATTTACAGCTTCCCATAAAAATGGCTTGAAAATAAATCAATTCAAGTTTCAAGAATCCTACTCTTCACTGAAGTTCACAAGCGAAAGGGATCAAGTCACAAATTAGATGAATTCACTTTTGAAAATGTGTACTGGTACTGTAAAAGTAGAAATATTCGCGTACATTAATTTTCACAGATTTTGCGCTAAGGCCGGTAAGTGCGAATTTTAGAACTCGCGAAAATATATGCATGACTTCTTATGACTTTGCGTGCAACACAAATTTAAGATACCAGCAAAAATGTTATGTGGTCGCTTAGTGCGAAAAATTAATCACGAGAAAATAACAGCGTTTACTTATATCACATGTAATGCAAGTCTTTAATGACCAATCGTGGCTTCCCGTAACGATAGACATAGCTCAAATCAATTCATGTTTCGAGTATTCCAATCTTCACAGACGTTCAGAGACAGAAATTTCAATCTCACAATTGAAAACCACATTACCACTGGCATTTCTTATGAAATGGCTAGAGCAAAAAATCAATTCATGTTTCAAGTAATTCACTCTTCACTATCATTCACAGACAAAAGGGAGTAAGTCACACGTTCAATAAATTCACATTTGATTGTGTATATCACAGGAAACATAATCATGCATTTTGAAATTGCTTTAAGTGTCAAGTAGTCTACTCCTTAAAGGGACTCCTTAAATGTCCCGTTGCAGGCCAACAAAAATTAAAAGGAAGAATTCCGTTTTTAAAGGAGTTCACAGGAAAGAGAAAACAAGTCACAAATTCAATCGATTTATATCTAATACTTCCCAGAACCAACCCTACTAAGCGTGTCAGATTCAGAAAATGGAAAACAATATTATTCTATTCATTAAATTTCCCTTGAGTTTAGAGCTAATACAATTCCAATAAACAACTGCACAACTAATCTGATTCTCAGAACCAGAGATTTGTCGGTTATGCTTTTCTGTGCATTGGCAGCATGGGCCTCCAGTCTGTTCATACCATATAGAATGTATCTACCGTGAAGCACATGCAAAAAGTGATACTATTCTGGTTAATCATTACAGTGCATTGATTTGTCTGTCGGCTGAATCAATACTACTCTATTACCGCGCCATGCCATCCAGCTGTTAAGACCTGTCACTTACATCGTGTATTAACTTGTATGACATAAAATGTTTCTCATCTAGATGATGGGCATTTCTGATACATAACTACTTGACTTGATTGATTCTTTTCCTTCATTTTCTGCTGTCATTCTTTGTTTCCATTTTGTTCTCTTCTTCTTCTTCTTCTTCTCCTCCTCCTCCTCCTCCTCCTCCTCCTCCTCCTCCTCCTCCTCCTCCTCCTCCTCCTCCTCCTCCTCCTCCTCCTCCTCCTCCTCCTCCTCCTCCTCCTCCTCCTCCTCCTCCTCCTCCTCCTCCTCCTCCTCCTCCTCCTCCTCCTCCTCCTCCTCCTCCTCCTCCTCCTCCTCCTCCTCCTCCTCCTCCTCCTCCTCCTCCTCCTTGTAAATTCTATTTCTTCTTCCATTCTTCTCATCTGCTTTTTACTTTCCTTCCTCTTCTTCTCTTCATCTCTGTAATACTTTAAACCTAGTGATTAATAAATTCAACAAAATCCCAGCCTCCATTCCCTGTATTCTAATACCTACCTCCCAGTCTTTATGGATGGGTTCCTTGAAGAAGTCCTCGATCAGTTCCAGTTCCTCATCCTCGTTAGAGTCCTCGACCACAACAAAACCAAGCTCACTCGGAGAGACCTCCTTGCCATAGACGTCCGGAGACCACTGAAGGAAGAAGGCATACAGGTTGTCTGCCCTAAAGATAACAGGATGATAGGATAATGTTGCAGGGGGTGGTGTAAACATATCTCTCACATTACTTGATAGATGCAAAACAAGTAATTGTCATAACATTAAAAAAGACCTTTAAATCGTAACAAAATCAGACGAGGAAGTTGAAATACTATAAATGAAAGCAGAAGGGGGGAAAAATAGTATTGCTAGCAGAACTATCAAATATATAAAAAAGCAGATAAAGTAGTTTAAATTCAAGTTGTAGAAGTGAAAGCAGAAGTGGAAATATTAGAATAATTGGCATCATTAAAAGTAGACCAGGAAATACAATTGTTAGTATTACGATCAGATCATGAAATAGTACTTGAGGAGGCATCATCATTGATTTCAAGGCCAGCAGGAGTAGCAGGAGAGTTGAACTACCTGAAGTAGCTTTAGTGACCACCTGTCAACAAAGATCACATGATTTGTTTCCCTTGAGATTCTCATTGAAACATGTACTATAAAGGAACCTGTCTACAAAGACCACTTTTTGTGCTTCCCTTGGGCGGTCGCTTTCTAGACAGGTTTGTCTGTAGAAGTAGTAGTAGTAGTAGCACTAGATGTAGAATTATGTTGCAATAGACAGGCACGTAGCCACAGGGGGGGGGGGGGGCACTGGGGGCATGTGCCCCGAAAAATTTCCAAGATCGATTGAACTTTTTTGGACCCCTTTTTTTTAGGATAGGATAATAATAATAATAATCTTTTAAAGTCTGCTCCAAATGTTAATGTTGCACATAGTGGTGTAAACATATCTCTCACATTACCTGATAGATGCAAAACAAGTAACAGTCATAACATTAAAAAAAGACCTATGAAATGTACTAAAATCAGATGAGGAAGTTGAAATACTATATGTGAAAGCAGAAGGGGAAAGAATCAGTATTGCTAGCAGAACTCTGAAATATATAAAAAGCAGATAAAGTAGTTTAATTTCAAGTTGAAGAAGTGAAAGCAGAAGTGGAAATATTAGAAGAATTAGTATCATTAAAAGTAGACGAGGAAATACAATTGCTAGTATTACAATCAGATCATTAAATAGTACTTGAGGAGGCATCAGCATTGATTGCAAGGACAGCAGGAGTAGCAGTAGAGTTGAACTACCTGAAGTAGCTTTAGTGACCACCTGTCTACAAAGACCACTTGTTGTGTTTCCCTTGGGCGGTCGCTTTCTAGACAGGTTTGCCTGTAGAAGTAGTAGTAGCAGTAGTAGTAGTAGTAGCAGTAGCAGTAGCAGTAGTAGTAGTAGTAGTAGCAGTAGTAGTAGTAGTAGTCGTAGTAGTAGCAGTAGCACTAGATGTCGAACTATGTTGCAATAGAGTACATAAAAGAGGAATCAAGAAACAAGTTTTCTAAAGAACTTACTTGACTCGTGGAATAGCGAACCAGTATTCTGGCACCTTGTTCTTCCTAAACCTATGTTCTTGCCTAGCTGAGAAGGTCTTCTGCATCGGTTTCTTAGTCCGCAGACAGAGGTAGAGTGGTGGGTCTTCGTACGACTTGGCTCGCTTCGGCAAAAATTCTGTAACAAAAGAGAAGATTTGATTTCATTAAAGATATACCAACAAGTCACTATTAAACAAGCAGCTTTTCAGGAGAATCACAGCTTTTTGATATTTACTGGAGCTTATCATTATCACCAAGGATCTCTATTGTGTCTGTCTTTATTCGCCGAGTTGGATTCTTCTGCCTGACTGCATCATACTGCAAGCTCTTTTTTTTATAACCAGGGGAATGGAAAAGGATAAGGCATCTCTACTCAGCCCCAGTCATCAAAGACATACTACTTGAGTTCTGGTAAATATAGAAAATATATTCCCACAGAATCCAAAGAAACTTACACTGAATGTTCAAGAGTACAAATAAATGACATGTGCCAAACAATTTTGGTAGAATTAAATGTAAATTGGCTGAGTAATAGGCAACAAAACATAAGGAAATCCGGGTAAGTAGGCCTGAAACCATGTGCTTACCACAGGTCACTATATGTGGAAATGGAAGTTGTGGTTTTTATCAAAGATGATCCTTGGTGAGTTTTTGTTCAAACAACCAATCTACAGCAGGATAAACAATCCAGAATAAACCAAAGCAATTTTCTCTCAAAATATGATCAGGATTAGCTTTAATCTGTAATTCTCTGAAACAGATTAAAGTATATATATATATATATATATATATATATATAAGGTATTGGTAAAGTCTATAAAGCCTTCTGGGGAGAGGTGAAAAAAAGTAACAGATTCAACCATTTGCTTCAACCAGCAAAATATAAACAAACTAAACCATAGACGACTCTTCCACAAGTTTTCATTAAATGTAGCCATAGTGAATATTGTAAATGCCAGACCTTATTCAGGTAAGAAACTGTTGCAAATTGCAAAAATGTAGCATGGCTTCAGTTGTGATTATAGGCATCAATATTTAGCAAATCTGAATCACTTGCAAAATTTGCAAATTTTACAAGCACTCAAAAGTTTGTGAGGACTTATGAATTGAACAACAAAGAACAGGAAGGAAGAAGGAAAATAAGAGGAAGGAAAATAAGAGAAAGAAGAATGAAATTTTTAAAGTATTTTTTTCCCTGAGAAGCGTATTAAACATTATGTCATCATGATCACCAAAAACATTGCAGTTTTGCAGCATCACATCTGAAGCAGGCTTAATAACAGGCACACCATAATGTATTAAAGCTTTCACAGGTCCATGTTTCATACTCCTCAACTTATTATCACTCAACGAGCTAATAAATGTACTTTCAAAGGCCCACAAAAACTAAAACCACCAAGAATTGAACTTACCCTCAACTAATGCAGAAATATATCAAAGACAACTCCAATGGCTTCTATCCTACAGGCACTCTTTTAGCATGCACACAAGCATGTGACTGTATTCCTACAAAATCGGTACATTTCACTCAACAGATAAACACACATCTGCCTGGCTCAATCTCAGGTTTCTTGGGACCTCGCGACATCAATATTGACGTTTTGGTATCGTCAGCGGTGTCATCTTTCAAAAAGAAATCTCATTCATTCGATGCTGCAAATGAGGCTTAATTAAAAAGGCTCCGCTACATTTCATTGTAGCATTAAAGCGGAAGAGGCTGCATTGTAAAAACAATATCAATACACTTGCACTAGTGGAGCACGGCTATTTAAACAACGACAAGTCCTTTGTAAATTAAGTTCAGGGACAATAGTGCAACAGCTGTTGATATAACTGTGGCCAAAGCGTATGTAATAATGATGTCAGATATTGAGAAATTACGGAAAGACAAGTAATAATGAATTAAATGAGTTATATTATGTTTTTACTAAAAGAGACATGTTTCATCCTTTGTTCTTTGCAGACTTTAATGAGATTCGGCATACTGATGGAACATCTTTAATTGCATGAAAATCACGACATGAAAATGCCATTATTGAATGTTAAAAAGCTTCAAATAAATTTGTGTACCTTAGCATTTCAACAGTATACCGGTACATTCTTTTTCAATCATTTGGCTTCCTTTTTACTGTTTTACTCCGTTTCAATTACCTGTCGTTATCTTTAAAAAGAAACTGATATACAATCTTTAGCTACCCTAAATTTCAGTCTCTTTCCTTCAACTAAATTCTGATAATTAAGAATATCATGAACAGACTGGAGTTTGTGTTTTTTTAAAGGAAAAAAAAGAAGGAAAAAAATAAATTAAAAAAAACACGACTGAATGTACACATACTACATTGTGGTTTACATACATTTATGTACTATTCCTCAAGGGAAATGTTAATGGCCATTCAAATAAATCATCTGAAAGTGAAAACAACAATTTTAACCATGGAGGTTAAACCTTTAATGTCAGAAGATCAAATGTTAATGCCCTTGTTTGTCACAGTTCTATAATCAACAAGCCCAGAGCTGGTTAGTTCCTTTTCATTTACCATGAAATAATGATCCCAGTATGTCAATTTTTGTATTAACAACTGAAAGGTCATATTTTGTAAAGACTGTCTCCTTTTTTAAATTGTTATCTGTAAAGAATATGCCTCGGCTAATCAACTCTAAATGTCAATGTTAATTCGAAACTCAAAATATTTATTGACATAAAACAAATTCCCTAAAAACTGAAAAATGGCGTGATCGCAAACAAATTATTAGTTCAAGAAAAAAAGCAGTCCCAGAAAGTCATACATGCACTGTATTTGAAGGTCAGATACTCAGAAATAGGAACTCAAATAAAATAATCAACACTAATCCACCAGTACATACCCTTTAATGAAAAAATACAAATTGGAGAATGAATTAAGGCAGACTCCACTATAAACTATAAAAAAAAATAGCCATTATTTCTGACCTGCTCAAGCCAAGGAATGTACACAATCTAAGGAAAACCTATGCTGTTGTCTAACATGTAGAGAGATATTGGGGCATCTGGGTCCAATTGGTTTAAAAGACAGTTGAGCTCCAGTTGTTAAAAAGCCATCACCTGGTATGAAAGACATTCTACAACTGATTCAACAACAAAAAATTAGCTTGTGTTTTTTCTTACGCCTACAGTCAATGTTTTTTTGGAAAACAAATCCTTGTCATTGAAGACCTACAAGAGCATTTTAATCTTCTTTCTTGATCACGACTTTACACGATCTACATGTAGAGTAATAATCTACAGATAAAGCATGAGACATATCAAGGGGAAAAAGATCTCAGTGACTCAGCCACAAAGAAAATTCAAAATAAGGCAAATCCAGTCATGAAGGACAAGTATCATGCATTAGTGTAATATTGGACCCCTGTTAGGTGTTCAGCATTTATAACAACTGGGGAGTGTTTCACACAAACTAAGATCATGCCACTGTTTGCTCTCACCATTTACTGGCATTGATCTCTCAAGGGACGTACAAATCATGGTCACAAATCTACATTTTTTGACAATTTATTATTGAAGGAAAAAATATTATCTAAAGATCAAAATGGTGAGAGCAACCAGTGGTGTGAATGATCTTGGGTTTCTGTCTATGGTTCCACAAGAATTGAAAGATGTGATAATGAAAGAACAAGAAAATACTAGACAAGGGTCTAATAGGGGGTGATAGTTATAAAACTGTTGTAAATAATGCGCAAGAGGATGCTGTAAATGTATGGTGGATTGGATGGTGTTGAAAACGGTGTAACCAAAGTTTGAGACCAAGCGGCCTATCCCCACCCTTGATGAAGATATTGAGTCAAAGTTTACCTACTCTGAGATAAAGATGAAAACTGAGAATCACCTGGAGCCTTTAGGTACTTTTAAAATTATATTTGCTCTTCACCACTCGGTTAAAATAAACAATCAAGCAACATGTTTCAGAACTCCTGAAGAGTACCGTAACACACAAGAATCCCCCAACCCTACCTCTAACATTATAAAGATATAACATTAAGGCATAACATTGACCCTGACCCATACTTACTTTGACCCTAACCCTGAACTAAAGGCATAACACTGACTCTGACTTTGACCCTAACCCTGGCCTTGACCCTAACCCAATATACTGTATGGATACATGGTGAGGTACTCTGCAGTTTCATTGGTCTTACCTCTGAAATTGGTTCTGTTGTATTCGAGCTGTCTGGTTGGTGGTTTGTTGACTGCGATACCTGCTGCTGGCTTCTCTCCAATACCTCCATCCGGAGCATCCTCTGCACCAGGGGTGTTGTTATTGGACTCTCCATTGACCTGTACTGCATCCTGGTCACCCCCATCAGGTGACCTTTCATCAGACACCTGACGCATCAGCTCGCCTTCCTCCTTGATCTCCTGGAGAGTCTCTGCGTCGTTGACGTGGATACATTCCTTGACATCTGGCACCAAGGAACATTTCCTACAATCGGTCTCGAAAAGCCCTGATGAAAAGTCAACAAAATTCTGCTTGGGTTCGGCTTCGGCTTGCTCTGTGGCATCCTGTGAGTTGTCAGGGTCTTTGCATTTTCCAGGACACTCATCATCTACACTTGTTCTATGCTCAGTGTCTGGACCTTTTTCACTGGCCTCCGCTTCAGATTTAGAGTCATTTGCTCTATCAGGTGTCTCTGAAGGAGAGGCCCCAGGTTCCTCTCCCTTGCATGTGTCCTCTATCTTATCATCACTGCTGTTCAGGAGCATTTCAATCTCCTGCAACCGCTCGTCCATTTCTTTGTCCACCGGTTCCAAGAACTTATCAGAGTCCTGCGACTCCATTCTTGACATCCCCGCTCCCTCAGCACCCTCCTTTCCTTCGCTATCTTCCACAGTGTCTCCACTCTCTTCCTCGCTGCCATTGTCTGTTCTCTTTGCTGCTTTAGAGAACTGTTCATCTTCACCGTTATGGTCAGAGAACCTCTTCGTTCCTTGATCATTTTCCGTCGGTGACTGCAATCTTTCATATCCCATGGACGTTGGACATACCCTCTCTTCACCGTCACTCTGTTCTCTCTGCGACTCGCATTGAGAATCACCAACAAATCCTTCATCCTGTGCATCATCATCATTAACACTCTCACTCTCCTTTGGTTCTTGCGTGTTCTCCGAGTTGCTTGTTTTTAATTTTGTCACATTGTCTGGTGCAGCACCGTCACCCTCATCACCACCCTCAGTTCTTTCGCTCTTGTCCGCTGATGGTTCAGCTTCAGGAGCTTCTTGAGATGTGTCTTTGGAATGATCATCACTGCTTTTCTCTGGAGAGAAGTTGCTGCATCCAGTCAATCTCTTCCTGATGTCCTGAGCCAGGATGACACAATTCTTTCCCTCCTGGGATGAGTTGTTTGCTCCTTCTGGCACGTAGACTGGACAGCATGGTCTCTCCTTATCAGCAGAACTGCAATCAAATAGAAGAAAAAGAATTGTAAGATATACTTAAATCTCTCTCTCTCAATGTCTCTCCCTTTTCCTTCCTTCTCCCTCTCTCTCTCTCTCTCTCTCTCTCTCATATCTTTGCTCTCCATCTGTCGGTCTTTCTCTTTCTTTTCTCTTTTCACTTTTTGTGTACTAGTATGCAAGTCTTAATCTCTATACATCAGTCTCCCTCTCTGTTTTGATGTAATAATTGTAGTTCCTCTACCAATGTAAAAATATTTTGTTATTCATGATACTATTTTAGGACTGCCCAATTTGGAAGTGAATTCTTCTGTATTTAATATTCTTCAATCAGAGCTCTTTCTTAATTTCTTAGAGTCCTTTTAAAAGCTTTCAGCAGCAATCTCTCTCACTCTTTGTATTTTTCTTCGCTGCAAATTATCAACGGATATGAGCTTTGAACCAACCACCTACCCAGATTCTGTCGTGACGTTCATAGCGCTGATATCGTGGTACATGGATGCTCCTAGGACCATGTCCATGTTGGTCATCACTCCGTAGGGTCCAGCCCCTCGGTCCTTGACAAGAGGGTCACTCACGTTGGGGTCAAACATAATGGCGTTTGGTGTGACCAGCATAGTTCCGCTCACAACACCCTAAATCACAGACACACACACACACAAAAACAAAACAAAACAATAGAATGGTTAAATACGTGAAAAGCTAGAAAGGGTAATTACACCAGTAATTTTTCAGGAACTGGAAGGTACATGTAACAGACTGTCGATCTCAAGGTCGGCGGTTCGAACCCCACCCCGACACTAATGTCCTTTGGCAAGACATTGATCTACATTTGCCACACTCCACTCAAGTGAAGTAAATGGGGACCGGTAGGAAGTAATTCCTTGAATGCTGTGAGCACCGACATCGGTAGCCTAGCAGAGCCGGGGTAATATTGGAGCGCTTTGAGCACCCTGCAGGGTGGATATGTGCGCTATATAAATATCCAATATTATTATTATTATTATTATTATTCAGATTCACAATTTTGAATTTGGGTTAATTGTGTTTTACTACAAGGAAAATCGTTGGATAGGATGGACAAGTATCTGCCATGAAACTGCAGCATAAAACCATTTTTTTAAAAGTAGCAAGAATTAATTTCAACAGGTTTACGGCTAACAGCCGCCATGTATTTATTATCGTTCCTCCTCGCTGTCAAAACGACAATGTGCCTACGGCACCAATATCCGCTCTCACCTCGCCATCTGTGATGTACTTGACGTCTAGCTTGAGATACTGCCTACTGTCTTCTGAGTCCCACTCTACGGACTTCTGCCTGACAGCATGGCCCGGCTGTGGCAAGCTCTGTGCCTTCTGCAGAGGGGGACGGCTCTTAGATTTCTGATCACTGTGGTCTCTGGTGAATGACCTACGCAGGGAGAAAGACCTCCCGGTCCCTGTGCGACCTTTCTTAGGGGGCGGGGCCTGGCTGACCGTGGGAACATCCCTGGGCTTCATGGCAACAGTTGGCACGTCCTTCAACGCAAGAGGAGAAATAAAGAGCAAAGTCCAATTTATAAGGAACCAGTCACCACAAAAGTATTTGCCAATGAATTTTTTTGATCCCATGCCAGTATACTAGACATGCTAGCTTTCAACATTACTTCTACATGTAAAGAGAGTTTAGAGAGAACTTTCTAAATAAAGATAAAAGTGACTTCCTTAACACATCTATGGGTACACAGAACCAAATTTTTAATTAATTCTGTGAAAAGATACACGGTAAAGAGCACAGTTCACTTTCATATGTTAAGATTACAAATTAAAATAGACATGATGTTTAGCACTTATAATTATTTAGTTCAAATGGTATTGCATTGCACCTTTGCTTTTAAGTGTCTATGTGTAGATAAATGAAAGCCAAAAAGACACAATAGTTTTTTGTTCTTTCTTTCCTGTCTCATGATGTATTTTTAGCACTCCACTTCCCAGTTTTCTGTATGTTCACAAAGTATTATAACGCATTGATTGTGAAGCTACATGTAGATTCAATAAACTTATTTTGTCGAAGGTGTGTTATGTTTATCCATGCATATATAAATTTAAACGCCATATGTCATTGACTTGGCATAACAACAAAAATTTAAGAAAAATAGCAAGCCCCAGATTCTTTATACTTTTTGGTATGTTTCCTTTCTTGCACTTATTCCTGTTTTATTCTGCCAATCTGCTGAGCCATGCAATACAACAGATTAGTGATAATGCTCTGTTGACCATCTGTGAAATGGTGCTTTCATCCATGTATAAACCTACATGTACACGTATACTACTCTGTAAATGACTTGAAAATCCAAACAAATAATTTAATTGTAAATAGTACACCATAGAGATCAAATAAACTATGGTTTACAAATACTGCATGCAACCATAGCTTTTAAAATTTTAATAGTTGGGGGTAAAAACCTGAACAACTGCAGCCTCAAATGAATCATATTCTTGGTGAGAAGGGAAGTATAAATTTGGCTAATAATTTGGGGGCTCTAAATTTGTTTGAAAATGCCCACTGATGCACATTATACTACTGTAGTCAACAAATGTATTCATGAAACATTTTGCACCATTCAAGGCTGTTGGCAGCAAAGGAGACTTGTCGTTTGATCTATTCTACAACCAGTTTGTCTACTATCCAATTGGTCTATTCACATATGGACTAAAACCAGCCTGCAACTATCCATATTACTACTACTATATGATCTGAAGATCGTTTGACGATTATTATTATTATGTATCATTGACAAAAAGCATTCTAAATATAAAATGTCACTATTCTATTAGTTCTTTACCATTTTTGGCAATTGTCAAATAATACAATGGCCGAGAAGAGGTTAAAATGTAAAGATGTTTTTATACCAATAGCAACATAATAAAAAAAAGTGTTACAATCAAAAGATTGATGAAGGATCTTTTACCACTGTCTTAGGTAGTTCAGGTGCATCCATGGCAGTAGGAGATGTGGGTGAACTTAACACCGGGCTGAACGGTACTTCCGCATCAGGGTCAGGTACATACAAAACCTAGAGGAAATGAAAACAACAGCATATTATTAGTCACAAAATAATATAATAATGCCATTGCCATCAGTTGTTATCAATACATACTGAATAAACAGAAGCATTTTGTGTAAACTGAGACACACTAACCTTTTGGTGGAGAACTTAATTTCTTAGCTAAGCATGATCAATGCACAGGCCTAAAAGCCGATACACATGGCAGGCACACCAAATGACTAATATTTCATCCGTTCGTATTTTCGCCAGTTGGGCTCTTTCAAGAATTTTTTTTAAAAGAACAGAAAAATATGCTGTTTACAGTACAGAATACTGGATAGCCTGCTTGTGTAACATATGAAAATTGCTTTCAAATGTATTTGAGAAAGCAGAACATTTGGAGGATAGATAATTCATCTTGTAGCTACATGGTTGAAAGAAAAAAGAAAGAAAAAAAAAAAGTCATTTTTATTAATGTTATCTATTGTCACAACTGATCTTGTTGAGTGTGAGTTGAAGGAAAACTAGATGGAATTTTGACTGCGCGCAGTCGAAAATGATGCCTCCGCAATAGAGCAATTTAAACAAGTTTGGAGTTTAAATCTCCAGTGGTTCTTGAGATATCATGATAACAATCTCAATGTATGGAATTTCATAAGTTGACCTCTGTGACCCTTGACCTTTGACCTACGTGCTCCAAAATCTAATCAGATTGTCTTCCTATGGTGATACACACTATCATTAAGTTTGAAGTTTAAATCTCTAGTGGTTCTTGAGATATTATGATAACAATCTCAATGTATGGAATTTCATAAGTTGACCTCTGTGACCCTTGACCTTTGACCTACGTGCTCCAAAATCTAATCAGATTGTTTTCCTATAGTGATACACACTATCACTAAGTTTGAAGTTTAAATCTCCAGTGGTTCTTGAGATATCATGATAACAATCTCAATGTATGGAATTTCATAAGTTGACCTCTGTGACCCTTGACCTTTGACATACGTGCTCCAAAATCTAATCAGATCGTCTTCCTATGGTGATACATACTATCCTTAAGTTTGAAGTTTAAATCTCAAATGGTTCTTGAGATATCGCGCTAACAAACTCAATACAAGGAATTTCATAAGTTGACCTCTGTGACCTGTGACCTTTGACCTACGTACTCCAAAATCTAATCAGATCGTCTTCCTATGGTGATAAATACTATTCCTGAGTCTTAAGTTTAAATCTTAAATGGTTCTTGAGATATTGTGATAACGGTCAAACGGGACGGACGGACGGACGTACGGACGGACGGACGTACGGACGGACGTACGGACGTACGGACGTACGGACGGACAACCCGAAAACATGATGCCTCCGGCACCACCTTCGGTGGCGGAGGCATAAAAACTGTGATGGTAAATTTCTAGAGAGAATGAACTGGAATACAGTACCGGTATTAAAACTATATTTCAACACAAATCTATTTTACATGTAGCTATATACGAATGTAAATCACAGTGCACTCGCACCAGCTATGCCCTCAGAATCAACACAACAGAAAGTTTTATTACCAGCAGTAAATAGAAATTAGAATAGTATAATATCATTTCTTACCACTGTGTAAAGTCATACAGGTACATGTAGTACAAGACATAGAATTGTGGAAGTTCTAGAGACGGAAATATGATTTCCGATGGTATTGTATGGATAGGTTTTTAGAAATATGTCAGTCTAAAATCATTATTAAAGACATATTTAGAATAGATCCAAAACCAAAAGCATTCATTAAATTGACATGAAGAGATCGTTTACATAAATGGGTGATAATATGACTTTGGAAACTCAAACACGGAAATGATTTCAAGTTCTTTATTAGGTAGCAGACGAGTAGAAACAATTAAAACTCCATCATAGATTTATTTCCTGATACTACTTGGTTTATACAATCATCTTTATTTATAATATCCTTTATACAGCCATCTGGTTTTCTGCAGATTGTCACACGTTAAATCACGTCACAGGTTACATTTCCTTTCTGACTTCCTAAAGCCTCATCTAAATCCTACTTGTAAATTACGCATAAACTACGTTCTAAGAACCGAACTGTTTTTTATTGACGAATCAACATTTTAAAGCATCGAGAAGCATCTGGAATCATCAAAATGATAAGAAATTTGGCCCAGTCTTCATAAAGTTACAAGAACTGTACACAGAAAGATGTATATTAGCCTACGCACACATGCACGACACGTGCATTTTTATCTCTCACACACACCAATTGATAAACTAATTTACCAAATATATCAATTAGTAGGCGGTTTCCCGGCAAAAATGTATCATTCAAAACATATTCTTTCACATGATTGGTAATAAGAGCTTCCATTTCATTTTTTGAAATTGGGGCGTTTCCAAAACTGGTCTTTACCTTTAAACACTGGACGCAACCTTTACAGTATTGGATTCAGCATTTAGAGTGTAGAATATCTACTGTGTACTCTAATCAAAATGTTAAAGACAAGACAAATTCAGGGTAACATACATATTCATTAATGGCATTCATGAAGACGGTCTTTGGTGTATGTCCATTGTGTTGAAAACTCATGATGTACTTTGCCATGTATGTGGCTTCGATATCAATGGTGAGATCCATTCTGCAGATGGATTTCCTGATTCACTTCGGAAGCAAAAGGACGTTGCTGCTCCCTTATGTATAGCACAAGTTAATTGTCACTGAGTGATGACTGATTTCTTTCTTGATGCAACACTTGATCACATGACAAAAAAGTTCTGGTTGATGGCAATACTAAACTGGTAATTGTTTTAAATGTTCCATCTATAGTAGAAGTCATTTGCTGTGAGTCCACCTAACGTTTGAGGTTATTTCTATTTTATATTGAATTATATGACAAAAAGTACATGTATCACCGACTACAGTGTACCATGTCGAGACAAAACAGTTGAGTTCAGAAATTGCAGAAGAAGCAAGAACTTCATGAATCCATGTTAACTTGTAAGACAAAGAGTAAGATTCTCTCAAAATAATTTGTCAGAAAAATTGTCTTGATTGCCGGGTAAAGAGCATGTACCACAACTGAAACTACTCCACAATTGTTAACCTGGCAAGCACATATGAGTTGTACATATGAGTTATACGTACAAACAATACCACATCCATATTATAACATCCTATAATATAACATCCATGTTATATACAATCAAATGTAGCATCCAAATTCGAAGACCAAATCAAAATAAAACACCTAGCCAACCATCTGAACATTAACACCAGCAATTATGGCCTATTAATTATCCTGTGGCTCTGGAAGTTCTAAACAAAGAAAGGCATCCCACGCTTGTAGTACTCCTTCTGATATAAAAACTCTGCTCACACTTGAGAGCACATGGCCGGTCTACATTGGGGATTCCCCACAGAATTTCACTTGAATAGGCCTTCAATGATACAATGCTCTTATTCAAAATCAAATTCAAGTTTAGTTTGTTGTATGGACAGGCAACTGACGCGACAATATTTCAATGAAACTGCAATTAAACAGCACTAGGAAATAGTCCAGGCACATATACATAAGGGATATGTCTGTACTGTTTTTCATACAATGTATATTTGTATAGGGCATGCCATATGCATCTTGCATATTTGTTTAAACGTCATTACACAAATATGAATTCGGAAATGACTATGTCCACAAATACTCAAGCAGGTTCAAGTCAATTATTCCAGGTGCGGAAAGTAAAAAGGACAAACTCAGCTAGTTGTTCAAGTACATTGTGTATGTAGGTAAGATTATGTTAAGTCAACTAACTATCGGTTCTATGCAGTAGGTAACAATATAGAGTGTATTGCAGCAAGGCAGTTCTATCTCTAGCATGAGTGGCAAGAGTTACTATAAATCCACAGAGCATGTACATGTATGTGCTACATGTATGATGGTCAATTAAAATTGGCTTTAAATACAGAATGCTTTGCATGTTATAAGGTGGAATAAAGTGGGGCAAGGATGAAAGTTTACTACAACTGGGCCAGATTCCAACAATCCCTACAAAAGTTTCAACTTTTCGCAGAAATACGACAGGAAATGCTAAAATGGGCAACAGAGTGTGATGTCATACTGCTTTCTGTTCTTGAACTTTTTGTCTGTTCAAAATAACAACATACAATATCGTTATTTTCAAGTATTATAAAGCCACAATGATGTCATTTATTGCAACTAATTTTGTAACCCACAGAAGGGGAGCTACTGTTTATAAATTAGTTAAATAAATCTGTGATCAAAGAATAAATTTTGTTTTGTATCATAACTGTTTGTATTAAAATGATGGGATGAAAGCTATGGAAGAACAAACAAATCTTATGAGGAAAAAAAGACGATACGACCCCCCCCCCCCCCCCCAAAGGCCTGCCTTTATCAGCTCAAGTTTGCCAAATAACCTGATATTTTAATTTTCCCAATCGCAAATTAGTCAGTTAATTTGCATCTTCATCAGCCCGCAGTCGCAATTAGCGGGATATTTGGTTGAGAAAATATCCTGAGAAATGTTGGTCTTGTTTCCAAAATATATAATTTGCGCCAGTCTGAGCTAGTTAGAGATGAGCGTATCGGTTTGGTGACGGCGCAATTTCGAGCTTTGGGATAATATCCAGAGTCTGAAAATAGCGGGTTATTTGGCAAACTCAAGCTGATGAAGACAGGCCTCAAGACCCTCTCATTTAACCCATTTACAAGTAGGACCAGTAAAACCCCCCCCCCCCCACCCCCACCCCCTCCTCAGATAACTAAACACGATATGCCGCTTGGAGCTATATGTAGTATAAAGAGAAACCAACATAATTTTACCCTATTATTATCAAGGACAGAAATAGAATACATACATTCACAAGTCATTATGGTATGAAGCTGATTTCAGGAGGGAACAAGAGGGTTATTATAATCTACCCTATCATATAACAGATATGGATTGGACCAGTTAATTAACTTCATCAATACATTCATACTACTGCATCATATAGCAGAATATAACAGAATATTTATGACATCCTTGATATAGAAACCACGAAAAACAACCTAATCCAAATTCTGAGGATTATAATGAGATTAATAATGCCTTAAAGCTGGTTCAGGGAAAACGCTGCAAAACCTAACATTTTGTTATGATGACAACGTAAAGTGTAATACACATGATATTTCTGTATCTTTTATCAAAAACACAGTGCTCAATTATTATTCACAGTACATGTACCTTTGTTGGCCACAGTTGCCATTCATTTACACATACAACATACATGGCAGCTAGCTTTTTGGCGGCGGTTTACTGAGCCATATCCGAACGAACGAGCCTTTACTTTGAGAGCTATAAAGCTATCCATTAATGTCATAAAGATAACCATCAACACCACTGTCATGAATTCAACTGCATGCACAGCAAGTACAGACAAGGAAATACATGTACTTTGTATTTGCACAGAATGGCCTTGTCATATACAGCACATGAACAAAAACATTGTACTTGTAAGTACACAACTGCACTGTACACTGTACATACATGAACATTATATCAATTAATTATAAATAAAGGAATTTTTAAGTCTAATGTACTTTTATCTTTGCCCTTGAAAAACACAAATATTCATACATCTTAGGGTGTAAAGATCAGCATGTACATTGAACGACTCAAAGCCTGCATACAATTAGTCTATCATCTTTATAAATGTTATATTAATATAGTATTAAAATTTCCTTCTACAATACCTATCTTTCGTGCTATTTTGTACTTTTTCTCTCTCCTGTAGTTCACTCTCACTCTTCTCCCTCCCTCTCCTCCCTCTCCTCCCCTCCCTCACCTCATCCCCCCTCCCTCCCTCCCTCCCTCCCTCCCTCCCTCCCTCCCTCCCTCCCTCCCTCTTTTTATCATCATCATCTCTCCCTCCCTCTTTCTCCCTGTCCACCTTGTTGGATCAATAACCACCCAGCTAAAGAGTGTGGCCATTTGAAACATCAGATTGTGCAGTATGGCTCTTGGAATATTGATTGAAAAATGATTTGGGTCAGTCTTTGCAAGGTCATCAATGCCATGGACAGAGCTAGTGTTCAGTCACAACACTAGCCACCCTCATCAGATTCCTACTTACATGTAGATGCCTAGATTCTAAATAAAAGGGCAGGCCAGATCTCACCAATGACAATATAGCGATAACTAAAACGATAAGTCGTCATCAAATCGCCCCCCCCCCCCTCTTGTTTATGTGCAAGAGGTATTAAAAATTGTTGCTTGACCAGATTTCAACACTTTCTGTAATAAGCCTCCCTCGATTTTATTGTCTTGTTGGAATCGTACACCCACAGATTTTCTTAGGACAAACCTCTATCTGAGAGCAAACAATTTTACTTTTCCATGTATTAACTATAGTGCAGAAGAATGATGGATAGTGTTCCTCATGCTATATTTACAGAATCATTCAAATGACCATTTTTAAAGGCTATTGCTACATTATAGTTTTATTACTGGTGAGTTCTGACAGGCCCTTTAGTGTACCGATTCTGCCCTGCAGCATAGGTTCATGTGTAAACTCCAATGTCCGAACATAAAGTATTCTATAATTACTAGGCCTACTGCTAAATACCTTGTATGCACATGTTGGAAATAGATAACATGGATGACTCATACAATGTTACATCAATATTGGGAGGTTATCAAGGTACAGGGGTGCTTTCCCATTAGCTCGAACGGATACAAGACCGATCAGTGATTCTTGAGACTAAAAAAAATAATCAATTTCAAGTTGCTTCCTCTATGAACCTAGGTCAAGCAAGACTTGCTCGCTCAAGAAATTTGCTTGATTTACAGGACGAGCATAGTCCTGAGTATAAGTACATCTTCACTGCTGAATTAATCCACTAATGAATTTTCTACTAAGAGGCCATTTCATAAGCAAGTCCTCCTTAGTTTGGTTGGGATACTAATCGACCTAAAATCCCCAGCACAAGAGCGAAATAGCCTGACATTTTCATCTTCAGTGTACATTAGCTACAGCTGGGTGTACTCATCATAAGTGCCCAGATCAGGATTAGCAGGCTAATAGAAACAGGCCTGATAATATATCCAGAGGTTATCAATATACTGATCGACTGTTGGTACAGCCAGATTGGAAACTTCTATGGCATAAACCTCAGCTCCTCAAATGCTGGCGGCCATCTTGAAAAATAGTCCGACTGTCAGGGAAAATGTATTGAGCGGCCATTTTGAAGAAGAAAAAAATAAATAAATAAAAAGGGCCTCCTCCTTCCTATTCTTCAAAAAAGGCAGGATGCTAAACATGTTTTTTTTTAAATTTTATTTGGCCATAGCTCCAGCTGGATGTACTCATCATAAATGCCCAGATCAGGATTAGCAGACTAATGGGAACAGGTCTACCAATATATCCAGAGGTTATCAATATACTGATTGACTGTTAGTACAGCCAGATTGGAAACTTGATGAAGAAGCCAGGGCTATGGCATAAAACCTCACCAAGGATTTTGGGAGGCTGCGGCATGTGAAACATTGAACTGTCCAAAGAATAGGTAGACTTGATCTATGAAAGACAAAGAACAAGTGAAAGAGGACAAGAAAAAAAAAGAGGACAAGATAGAGAGGAGGAAAAGAAGGGGAAAGGGGAGAAGAAAAAGTAACTTGAGAAGGACAGTGAGTCGAAAGTAGACTGCTTGTCTGAATATGGATGATCACCCTACCTGTTTGATGGTCGAATTCCATATGTTGAGAGGATGAAGAGGCAAAGAAGGGTGGGCCAGAGAGCAAGGTAGTGAAAGAGAACGAGGAGGAGGAGGAGGAGGAGGAGCTGAAATGCTCTCCAGACAAAAGGTAGATTATAATGCAAGTGGACAGTTACTACATTTTGGGGGCGTAAGGAAAAATATATGGAGAAAGATGGAGAAGAAGAAAATATGACAGAAGAAGGAGATGAAGTAGAAGGAGATGAAGTAGAAGTGGAAGTAGAAGTAGAAGTAGAAGTAGAAGTAGAAGTAGAAGTAGAAGTAGAAAAAGAAGTAGAAGAAGAAGAAGAAGAAGAAGAAGAAGAAGACGACGACGACGACAATGACAACGACAAAGAATAGAAGAAGAAGAAGAAGAGGGAAAAGGGAAAAAGAAGTAGGAAGAGACTGGAATGTTAATCTCTCCAGGGGAAGCTCAATACAATATGTAAGTATCGTCAGTTGCAAGCTACGAGTCACATAAAATTAGGTGTGTGATGGAGATGGGGAAGGATAAGCAGATAAAGAAAATGGAGAAACAGAAGGGTAGGAGGAGGAGGAGGGGAATAGATAACTCACCTGACCAGGGAAGATCATTCTACTTGTACGATGATTGAGTCTCATGAGGAGAGAAGGTGAGGTATCGAATGAAAGGGCAATACTGTCCAGAGTGTCTCGATCCATCACCTGTACATTTCAAATAAGGAAACGAAGAGAAGAACATAAATTAATAAATTTTGTCAAACAAAAATTGGTAATTCATACTTATCTATTCCTAACTATTTCTGAACATTTCATAATAAGTTTTAATACTTCAGATCATGCATTATTTTACAAAATTCAATGTTATAAAACATGTGTTACATACAACATGCATGTACATTGTACATGTACATTAATGTATTTCCATGTTTCAATGTTGAACTCACACTAAACATTTTATATCAAGCGAATCTTTTTCCCATTTCCCATACGGTATGGTTTCGTCTTGTGTTTTTGTTGTTGTCATCTCTTCTTATCCACATGCATGCATTTATTCCTCCCTACTCCAAGATTCATTTTTGCCTTGTCTTTCTGGCTGTTCTTTATCCTGTTCCACCCTCTTGATGCCTGGCTCTTACTTTCTCCTCCCCTTCTCCTTTTCTTCCTCTTTTTTTCTTCTTCTTCTTCTATTTATTTTTCTCCTCCTGTTTGTTCTTCTTCGTATATCTCTCATCTCCTCTTCCTTCTTCGTCTCATCTTCCTCTTCCCCCTTCTCTTCCTCCCTCTTCTAATGTTCCTGCACTCTTTTATCTACACCTTCTCTCTCCACTCCCTTCTCTTTCTTATTTTATTTCTTCTAACTCTCTCTCTCTTTCTCTCTCTGTTTTTAATTTTAGAGCAGGCAGGCAGGCCAGCAAGCATCCATCCACCCATTTTAATGGAATAAGCACCTGTCCATCAGTATGGTCTAATACACTCCCTCCAAGCAAGCATCTCTCTCAGTCCAAGCAATACTTTTTGATTTCACGTTCATTCCTGTACATTCAAAACAAACCGCAGAATGCATGCATAAAGCATGCATCTTCAAGTCAATGTGTAGCACTTAAAGCTACAAATGTACATGTACATTTGTATGTTGTGTGTCCAGTTGTAACAGAACACAAATCTATATACAAACAGCATCCTATATTATTCAACATACATGTTGTCCACCCAAAGATCCAAATTGTATATTGACCCCCCCCCCCAAAAAAAAAGGGGGGGGCGGGAAGGGTGAGAAGAAAAAAATGGTGTATCTAGTGATCTCATTGTATTTACCCACAATTTAAATTGAAGAAAATCAATATAATTCACTTGCTGAAATATCTTCATTATGAATACCTGGCCGAAAAATGGTAAATTTCTATGTCACACCATTCAAATACTCCACAATATTATCTAAATCAATCTAAAGCAACAACAAAAAGAGCAAAGAAACCATATGTGACACCACTGATGGTAGTGATTTTTTTTAAATATAGGATTATTGACTCCCATTTGCTTTTAATTTTAATAAAATTTGAATGAAAGTACAGTGTCTGTTCACACAATCAGTAGAAAATATGATTTCATGAATTTTTCTATAGCATTGATATTCATCAATAAAAATAATAATAAACATATGTACACCATACAGCTGGGAGTTTAATATGTGTAAGTAATCATCTTAATTAATCAGGGGCATGGAAAATACATGTTTCGGCGTGACCCCTAGAATTGATCGATTACAAACAAGGCACTATACACGTACCCCACACTAATGAATTAGCGGCACGGTGCAATCCGATATATTATGCATGTGTAGGAACGAATCTGGTTGATTGGGAGCTGTGACAGCGCGGATGATGCGTTGCTACGGCGCTGAAGTTCATGTCGCTAGAGGGGAGACTCTCTTACAGAGAGGTGGTAAATACATGCATGTGTATGGACTTCGGGGAATACAAGGGAAATGGAGGAGATAAAAATGATGCTTCTTTGTAGTTGTTTTTTCATAATTCTCTTGTAAATGTATATGATTATTTTTCATTATTGTGTTATACAGTACATGTATCTGTTTTGTGATATCTTATACCTTATAAAACATGTAGAAAAAATGATGTTGATGAGCATGACTTTAGTAATGATGAGGAATAGGATGGATTTTTATGATTTTGTTGTGATAGTGGTATTAAAAATAGTTTTGATGAAAATGAAGAAAGGATGAAAGATGGCTTTGAATGTAAACAAAAAGCAAAAAAAGGAGAATTAGGAGAAGAAGGAGAAAAGAGAAGCAGTGTGAAAGAAATGAAGGAGATCATTGATTGTGATCAATTATGATAGAGATATTGATGTTGTTGGTGATGATGATGATGATGATGATGATGATGATAGTGGTGGCAATGGTGATATAAAGGACAAAGATGATAATGTTACTGATGATGATGAAGATGTTGTTGTCCCTGTTATTGGAGAAAACACCACAACTATACCTTACCCATCTGGCTATGCATTTTTCCAACCAAAACATTTAATTCTTTTGAATATCAAAAATGTATTGCTATTCATGTATTGTATAAGTTTAATATATCATCTTATTGCAAATATGGTAATACAATTCGAATTACTGTATATGTACCAAGCAATTTGCCAAGGTCGTTGGAAACCAAAAACAAAAGAATTCCAATTTTACTACCATGCATAATGTTTTACGTGTAATTTTATTTTGTCACTGATGTATACCTTGTAAAAGAAACTGCAATTCGGCTCTCGGGCCGCGAATGTTTTTTTATGAAATAAACCATTTTAAATAAATAAATAAATAAATAAAAATGATGATAGTCATCATCATCTTGATCATGAAAAAAGACTGAGACAAAGAAGTGACAAATGTATTTAGAAAAAGAATGGTATCTATATAGCTCTTAAAAATGAGCTCTGGAAAAAGTTCATATGAAATCAGAAGAACTATAGTGAACAACACAGACGCAAAGGGGAGAAATTATTAGAAATTAAATTATATATCTGTTCATATGACAAAAAAAGATAGGGGTGAAGACTGATGATGGTGATGAACTTAATGATGATACATGATTATGTTGAGGGTGATCTTGAGAATGAGTGATGATGATGTTCAAGGCTGATGATAGAAGATTGTTATAGACCTAGGGAGATGGCTATTACTATTAACCAAAGACATAAGAGGTGACAGAAATGATGATGATTATGGGTGCTTAAAGTTCAGATTGTTGGGGCAAAAGGGGTATCGAATTGAAGGTGTCAAGTTAGACTAACATTTACCATAAAAGGAGCGAGAGGGTTAAGGGATGGATCTAATACCTAATGACGCTCAAAATGACAGCTAGGCTAAGGCTTAACGATGGAACGCGATAATAATTAAGGTCTGGCTATAACTACTAGAGGACCTTTCGCTCTATCATTTGTAACCCTCACACGAGTGACGAGAGGAAAAGTATATTGGTTATCAAGGATGAATAATTTATACGCACACAAGCCTGGGATTTTCCCTTTCTAAAACCTTTTTACATACGCGATTAACCGGCTTAAAAAAAATAAATAACCGCACAGCAAAATAAAATTGCTTCATGTGTATATGATTGGCTTACAGGGGGAAAAGTTGCAGTGTGCACAAAGATAAGTATACTCACTGATCTCTGTTAGAGAATACAGGGATGAGAAGCATACCATGCTTGTGTCATTTAATGTTCTAGCCGTGGTTTGTTTAGTGAAAATCTTCGGGCTGGTGAAGACGCACCGGACAAATAGCGGGATGTTTTGCCAAATAGTGGGATATTTTGCAAACTAGCCCAAGATATCTTGGGATGATTATCTCGACCAAACATCCCGCTAATTGCAACTTCGGGCTGATGAAGACACAAACTGACTGGATAATATGCGATCGGGATAGTTGAAATAGCGGGATATATGTCGATCTCGAGCTGATGAAGACAGGCCTAATGATATTGCTTACAAGATGATACTTACCTTGTATTCAAGGGTGCCCTGGGGCTGAGTGAAGAAGCTCTTTCTCTTGCTGTTCCCATCTTTAGAGCTGCTTGACTCAGTATCTGTCAAAACAATGAAAAGAAGAGAAATATAAGTACAGAGTGTCCACAGAGAAAAACAAAATCAGATACAATGAATGAAAAGAAGAAGAACAAAAATCAAAGCTAAATGAGAACAGATTTTCTATTTTCTAATAATGCCGGGGGAGAGGGGGGGGGGGGGAGGGTATGGGGAGGGGGTATTGCCCTCATATTTAAGTTGGCAAATCCATACTCACAATATAAAAAAGTGAAATTTCCTTTTTCTTCCCCCATATTGGTGTTATTTAAATTTCCATCAGGTGGGAATCAGGGTAAATTAAAAAAAATAAAGACTTTCCTTTTTCTTTTCTGTTTTCTTGTTTTCAAACCATAAAGTGTGTGATGCCCTGAGAACACAAGCAAATTAACAATAATGGGAAATGGGACATTTTGCTGCTATCATATTATTCTAAAATATATTTGCACTTTTGCAGATCTCTGTAATCTTCGTCAAATTGCAGTCGCTTTGGGAACTAATTATATAAAGCAAAGCATGTACATGTACAAACCGTAGCCCTGTACACTGTACATGTATTTCTAGTGAGAAGCAAGCCTCACCAGTAGTTGCTACTGAGTGAGCCCCAAAACTAACTCAAATTCAATTGAATGCATATTAAAAATTGAAATTAAATCTAGAGTTGAAAACCCTTCCGGAGGCAAAAGATGAAATTCACACAGAAAGTGGAAGAAACAGGTCTTTCCCGCTAATCCACCTGTCACTAGCATCCATACACAAAGCCACAAAGGTCATGTACAATGTACAACACATAAACCTGTACCAGCCGAACGCCTCCATGAAATATCACTTCCTTACTCAACCCAAATATATCTGTATCAACGACTTACCCAAATAGAAAGTATCCCTCACACTCCTGTTATTCTTATCTACCTCCATCGCTTGAACCCCTAACATGCTTCCAACAATATTCCAAAGATTAGAATCAGACCGAGGCAGCAACATCCATCATCACCAAAACATAAATACTCCTGGTTCTATTCTCTAACTTCCTCAAAAATCCCTATGTTTAAGCTTTAAAATCAACTCTTTATGAGGAAAAAACAAACAGAGACAGTAATTCAATACAAAGTCACTGAGCTAGAAACTGACCTGAACAAGATTATAATGCGAGGTTCCTTCCTATATTGTTATTTACTAACCTTTCTTCTTTGTGGAGTAGTCTTATATGGTGAGGCCCCATTTAATTAAGCAACAATTATTTAGTGTGATAGTAGATGTCTAAAAGTAGGCCTACATGGTTAAATAACTTTCTATGCTCTGTGTAATATTGTGTAACACTGTACAGTTGGAAAAAAATACTACTGGAATAGCACTAGCATGACCACATTCAAGTTGTATCGTTTGCTACAACCTAATCTCTGATAATTTGCAATATCTATTGCAATTCTGTAGTTGAACATGCATGAATATGATATTGATCTGCATAGTAATATCAAATTGACAGCCCCTACCATCAGATTAACACCTGCACGTGTGTATGCGTGTGTGTGTTTCTACTTGTGAGGACATTGTCAAATGCAATCACACTGGCTTGTTTGCTTCCTACCAGATTGGCAGGTCCCCATTTCTCTCCCGGGTACTGAGTGGCAAATTTAATGTACAAGCCCCACAAGCTTGGAATCTTAAATCAAGTCCACTTGAATAAATTGCATTTACATGTGTCTGCACTTACATGTACATGTACACCTGTAAGTGTATCCATAATACACGCATACAAATTCTTTCTTAGCAGTAAGATTTAAAAAATTAAAATCTTTATGAAGCCTACATGTAGATATGTACATGCATACATGTATGTACTATGTACGTACAGGGTGTATATAGCTTGTATTTTATTTCATAATAATCTAAAGGCTAATTAATTCAAGCTGCCTTTAAAAGTACTGAGAGTGATCATCCATTTTATGCAAGAGTATAGAAATGGTGTATGAACATACACAACAACTACATGTATGCAAAAGATAATTTTTCTCCATCTAGCCATTCAGAGTATGTCACTGGCATGGAATTGTTTCCTGGGTCTGCTAAACAGAGACTATTCATGACATTGAAGGGGGAGTTGTTCTCAGAAGACGACCAATGAAAATCCTTGTTTGAAACACTTTGTGTGACCCTAGACAGAGAGACACATATTGACACAACCACCAAGGTCATTGTCTGAAAGGTCACAAAATGCAGGTCTTTGAGACTCGTAAAATTAAGGGGAAAAGAGATACAGATCACAACAACACAATCAATAACACATTTATTAGCGATGACAGGATTCTCATTAAGTTGAATGACTGGGGCATTTAAACTGGGTCATTCACTTATTCTTCAAATGAATGCCTATGATTTATATTCTAAAATGAGCTGCCTAATAGCCCATGAAGTATCTATCAATATGAAATTATACCCAAAGCATGCAATATCAAATATTAATCATTCCTTATTACTTTTAATAAATGTGGACTAAATCGAAAGGTAATCTCAATGTTTGACGATGACTGCAACTTCACAGACAATGTTTTAATTTCTCCTCGGTCGTTGATCATAAAGTAGGCCTTCATACTGTAGCCTGTAGGCTAATACATCGTTTGGTGTGGTACCACAAATTTATCAACGCTGCTGTATATCAGTTGCAATAAAATCACCTCATTCTGCAGGTTTGTTCGAATGAACAAGCTTCAAATGAAATATTCTGACTAATAAAACCTATTTATCATTAAACTTATATCATGAAGTTAATTGATTCAAATTGAGGTTGAGAGAGAATTAAGAGTGAGTAACCTCTGCACTAACCACCCCCCCCCCCCCCCGCCATTTCTGGTACATGTAAGCTGCACCAGTATGGTCCTGTTACTGCCTGCTCCCCTTGTTGGTTCTTTCATGAGTCCTATCTGTGTGCGAAGTGTGAATCAGGTATTAGGTTATGCACTGCACTGTTGGCAAGCTGACCATAAGATGGCACTGTGCAGCAAATAGTACGCTACAGGGCAGAAAGTTCATCAGTTCAGTATCCTTTTAAGCTCATGGGATAAGAAGTGTGATGAAATGTGAAAAATTAAGCAATTTGGAAAAGTTCATTATGTAGTACATAGGAATTGGTGTTTGCTGAGAAATTTTGGATCACCAAAATTTATTTTTAAAAATTGACTTAATCTTGATGATAAACACATGCACTGATCACATATTAAAACATGTACAATCTACTTGGGGCATGCCAGTTTAGTCTTAAAACTAATAGCTACATGCATTTATTGTCATTTTGAAAATGAGGGCATTTGAAAAAGAATCATTTCCAGGGGATGTTTCTATCAAGACTCTCATACAAACTGACATAATATAATAGAATGAGAAAGTTTACAAATTGTATGACTTCTCACGGTAAATTATTTATAGAAAATGAGTTTTGAAAAAAGCGAACAAAACTGATGCTGCATGCTCAGAACTAAATCTATCTGCTGAGTGTTTTTTTCCATAAAAAATATATAATGGCTGAGCACAGAACAATTAACACAAGAAAGAGAGAATTTATTTTTGAAGGGCTTTAAACTTTAATAGATTTAAGAAGATGATCATGTGAATCATGCATATCCCTGCTTATATTTCAAAATCAAAGGGATCTGGGGGTGCAATCTTCTATGTCCCCCCCCCCCCCCCCCCTCCTCCTCACTTCTGGAGGACCTATGAAACTAAAACAAACAAAAACAAAACAAAACACTTCACGTTGGTCAGAATAAAGGTCTTGTAAGGTACAGGTGCTAGTACCATAATTGTGATATCACATTCCCCTCCATAACCCCTTAGGGAAAATAGGCCAACAGTTTTGCTACCTCTGTATATGCACAGTATGTACTAGTTCAATGTCATCTAGGGCTTGACACAGGAACTGATGAGTCCATTCCATCGGGCACATAGATGTTTGTGTAAGGTGTCCATGTATTAAGGGAGAGGAAGTTTCTGTTCCTGTGATTGTTAGCCAAGGTATGTACTACTCACACCTCTCTGTAGTCAAGTGACGATTGCCAAGTTTCACAGGTGCTATTAAAGTTCACTAGCTTCAATACACAATCCCGAAATTTTAACACATAGTGATTTTTCATTACTCACAGAACATACAAAGCTAAGACTCAGGGGAAACCGCCCTGCCCACCACTCCCCCCCCCCCAAAAAAAAAAAAAATGAATTAAATGCAATTCTGAATGAGTTATAACCCCTTACAGACCCATATCTTTTAAATCATCAATTTTAATATAGAAGGATATTCTTCCAAGCCTCCACATGAAAAATCTTTACAATCTTTCATGGACAATAAAAATCCTAAAAACTCATTGAAATCTCCCCCTTTAAATCGTTGGTATGCCTGTATTTGTTTGCCCCTCCGCCCTCCAGCAATTTTCCCCTATAATCACTTGATAATCATCTTGCCTGAAACTCTGAATAGATGATTTTTTGCCGGCGGCCATCTTGAAGAGAAGAGAAAGAAAAAAAAGGGCCTCCTCCTTCCTATTTTTCCAAAAGGACAGACGCTAAACGTGTTTTTTATTTTATTTGGCCTGATAGCTGATATTGTAAAGTTGAATCAATTTGATTATTGTTATAAAAACACTGAATAGTACCTTTAACCTGTAACCATCCACCTGTATCACTCACATCCCTCTAAAAACTACACCAATTCTAGTCCAACTGGAAAGTACATTTCACCTGATGTATTAGTCATACATGTACTACATGCAAGCCCCTAGATGGATTGAATCCATTTCCATTTGCAGGGGCAGGGATATTGCCACAATCAAAACAAATTTACACTCGTTATCGATCAGCCATCAGCGTTGCTAGAAAAAGGTCATGACTTTTCCATGGCTACCTGCGACAATATGTATAACAGATTGAATGGGTTTTCATAAAGGCTGTATGATAAACAGTTAGAAAGACATAATTCTCATTCCCATGTGGATTTTGGGTCTCAAGTTCCTTGAAC